TGTGTGTGTGTGTGTGTGTGTGTGTGTGTGTGTGTGTGTGTGTGTGTTCAATTAGTGACACTGGTGATAGTGTGAGAGGATTCAAAGTATCTTGTTCACATATTTTGTAAGAACTTTGTAGTAGTCAACTTCTTAGACATCTTTAAAATTTTTTTCTCATTTTCTTGAAATATACTTCTACAGCTTTTACTTTGCTGTTACTATGTAAGCATACTAGTAATGAAATTAAGAGGTTATAATTGTATAGGGCATATTACGTGGTACTTCTAAATTTGTAATAAAAATTACATCACAAGTTTATATACAACGTTTATCTCTTCACCTAATTTTTTTTTTAAGTAATAGAGACAATGTCTCACTGTGTTGCCCAGGCTGGACTTGAACTTCTGGCCTCATGTGATCCTTCCACTTTGGCCTCCCAAAGTGCTGGGATTACATTCATGAGCCACTTCAACTAGCCCCCACGTCTCTATTTTATTATTTTATTTTGAGACAGAGTCTTGCTCTGTCATTCAGGCTGGAGTGTAGTGTGCAATCTCAGCTTACTTCAACCTTTGCCTCCCAGGTTCAAGGATTCTCCTGCCTCAACATCCCAAGTAGCTGGGATTATAGGTGCACACCACCATGCTGGGCTGATTCTGTGTTTTCAGTAGAAATGAGGTTTCACCATGTTGGCCAGGATGGTCTCGAACTCCTGACCTCAAGTGACCCACCAGCTCGGCCTCCCAAAGTGCTAGGATTACAGGTGTGAGCCATGGCACCCAGCCAGTACCGCTCTATTTTAGTATATCCTTTTCTTAACGTTATGTAATTTCTAAATCACTGAATAACACCTCTTCAAATCATACCTATTTTTCTTTGCTTCCCCAAATGTAACTTTGTTACAATATGATGCCATCAAAGTATATGAGCAGAAACCTCATTATAAAAGGTCTTATTATTCTGATTAAGTTATACATGATTATGAAAATGACATCTCATATTTCTCACTTGCTCCTTAAAACTGTTCTGTGAAGTATGAAGCAAAGGTAAAAGGCTTGCCCATATTAACAGAAATAGCAAATGACAGAGGTATTCCAGCTCTTATTTCAACTTTCTTTCTGCAATATTTTACCCCTCTGGCCAAATGATAGTATTTCTGTGTATGATGTATTTCAGAAAATTGTGTGGTTATACACTAATGCAGTACACAATTAATTTTATTAATCATATGAAATTAAAAGTAAATGCCATTCATCAGACTATTCCCCCCAAAGACTACTGAAGTTTAAAAAAATCTTTAGAAAGGATTCTAAATAACCACTATGTTTAAAGAATTTAAGCACTCACTGCTGCTTTTCTTGGTCCCCAAGGTCTGGCCATCTTCTAAAGAGTTTGAACCTACTGAAGAACTATCTTGACTGTCTTGATGGGGGAGCTGAAGAAATCCTTCACTGGAGTCTGAGCGGGTAGGTGTTAATGTTAGAGATTTCTGACGTTCCCGATTAATATCTTTCTTAGACTTTATCAATTTTCTCATTTTTAGAGTAATCCAGTTGCCTCTCCTAACAGAATTTAAAAAATTGTTATTAGTTTAAAATTCAACATACAAATCCTTCACAAAATTGGAAGTCATTGCAATATTAAAAATAAGTTTTTTTCAAAAAAAGAATTCATAAAATTTGGTTAATGGTACCTTCTAGGAGGAGATGGGTCATAAAATTTGTACTGATCCATAATTTTCTCTTCTAATTTCTCCTTCTGACGTCTTAATTCATTTAACTTATCACTATAAAAATAAAAATTACCTTTTAGGACAGGTATCATATTTTGTACAGCTATAAATATTAAATTGTTTTGTGACTATGATCTAACTTCTTCCCAAAACATAAAAAAATATAGATACCATGGTTGGCAACTAAGATTATATTAGGTAGTAACAATGGGAATTTTTCCATGTTCCCCTTTTTGATTAAAAAATTTGCAACATTTTTTTTTCCTTTTTTGGAAGAAAGGTGATCGATTACAATTTATAGCAGCAAAAAATAAAAACGTTGGATAGTTTGCTTACAATTATAGATATAATGAATTATCTTGCAAACACGTTTATGCAAATAGATTTTTTCTTTTCGACAAAATTTCTCAGGCTTCATTTACTTGTAGAGAATTATTTCCTGACTCCAGCAATGTATGAGTCACCACATCCTAGTCTCATTTTTATATTCTCGATAGTATTTACTAAATAGAGAAACATCAAAGGCTACTAAAGTAATGTCTCTTAAAAAAACCCCACAGTACCAAAGAATACTATTTACTTAAGAAACATTAGTGATCATTTACAATGAAGAAGGCATGAGGTGTATATAAGGATGAACGATAAATAGCTGTGTTTATAATATAGGAGAAGATATACCCATAGATTACTATAACATATAATGTGTGTGTGTGTGTGTATGTGTGTGTATAAAATGACTATATAATCCAAGGAAGTAGCAGTACCAAAATAAAATACTGTGCAAGTACAACAGGAACTTATAGAAGGTGAATATATCCCTCTTAGGTCACGAAACAAATCCCCATGAAGAAAAAGGCCATTATTAGATAGACTGAAAGGGGAAGATAAGAATACTAAATTATGTTGGTGTAGTATAGGAAGTTAAAAAAAATGCTAAATTATGTTTAGCTTGAATGTTGTAGGCTGAGAGGAAGTAGAGAGGTAGAGTTTTGGTTTTAGATTTTGCTCAGTAGGAAAACAGAAGAATTGAAAGTTTCATTACAAAGTGGTAAGAAATCTTTGTTTAAAGTAGTTTAACCTAATGATGGAACAGGATATATCAGAAAGATTGGAGATAAGGCCGGGTGCGGTGGCTTAGGCCTATAATTCCAGCACTTTGGGAGGTGGAGGTGGGTGGATAATTTGAGCTCAAGAATTTGAGACCAGCCTGGCCACTGTGGTGAAACCCTGTTTTTACAACAAATACAAAAATTAGCAGCATGAGACAGTGTTTGCCTATAGTCCCAGCTACTCAAGAGGCTGAGGCAGGAGACTTGCCTGAACTCAGGAGGCAGAGTTTGCAGTGAACTGAGATTGCACTACTGTACTTCAGCCTGGCTGACAGAGCAAGATTGAAAAATAAAAAAAGATTGGAGATAAGAAAACATTCAGGAGGCTAATGGGGTAGTCTATTTGAGAGGAAAGGCTGAATTACAGTGGTGGAGACTGGGAGAAACTAACTTGAGAGATTCGGTAGGAGATGCCTTGTGAACAGATGCTGCCAACAATTATACCACAGCACAAACAGCAGACAGCCTGTATTTATTAACCAACTGCTTGGATCTGAGGCCTGCAGAAGAGGTAACATTTGAAAAGTTAATGGCTGTATTAACCAAGGCCATAGCTCCCAATTCATTTCTTTTACTGGTTGAAATATCATTAAGAACCTTCAAATTCTCAGTACTGCCTGTCCACTGCCATCTTGCTAGGACCATGTGATAGAGGAATTTAGCTAGAAATATCTGACGTGCAAGATGGATACTTGTAATTTAAATTCAGTAAGTCAGAATAGATAATAATCTTTGGAAGTCAACTATCTAGATATAAGCACCTTCACCTGGAAACGTATTAGTCACCAAGGGTCAGAATAGTAAGACAACAAAGCTTTGGATAATGCCTCTGCTTAAGGGACAGGAGACTCAAATGCCAAAAGCTTTATATATACTCAAAGCTTCTTAACCTAAAACAAAGCTTCTTTTGAAAGCAAGTAAAGGAATACATAACCCAGAAAAGACTGAAAGGACTAAAGGTGGAGCCCAAGGTGTCCAGCCACAAATGTGAAATTTCTTTGAGGTTTTACATTTACTTTGAAAGTTTACACAAATTCTGCCTTTGTTCCATGATATACCTATGTATTAATATAGAAATAATGTTCCCTGCCTGAAATTTTTTGGTAAAACCAGTACTTCAGAAAAATGTAAGCTGTATCCTTGTTTCACATGTGCCCTGGCTATTTCTGTGTATCAAGTCTGAAAGGTACAGAATACTAATTCATGCACTCCTTGAATAATCTGGAAAGTAAGTGTTACCTGTATTTTAGAGAAGAAACTAATGATCAAAGAAATGAAGTGACTTGTCTGTAGTCACATAGCTAGTGAGTGGATGAATTGGGACATGAATCAGAAGCTGATTTCAACATCTGAGCTATTTCTATTATACTATGGTGCTTCTCATTTATGGGGCGAAAAGAGAAGAGATATATTGAGTAAAGATGAATCAATGTGTAGTAATACAAAGACTACCACTGGGCTGCCTAGGCCAAAATCTGAGTTTTAACAGATTCTTTAACTCTCTGGAGATAACAACTTACCAATAATTAAGCCTGTCAATTCTCTTTCACAAGTCTTGCAGCTTGATCTCAACTCCTTTGTATGGCATAGAACAACCTTTGTAAACTGGCTCCTATTTAGCCACTTTTCTATTGCACCCCTCCTTTCCTCAATTTTGCTCCAGAAAGCACAGTTAATTTTTAGGTCCTATACAGCACCACAACATACTTTCATCACACCTCCATGATTTTGTATTGCAGCTCTCTTGGCCTGGCATGTCTCCTTAAGCAAACTCTTATTAAACCTGTAAGTCTCAGCTCAAGTCTCATCTTTGGAAAGTTCACCTTGCCTCTTCCAGACTAAGATACTCCTGCCCCTATATATGCTATATTTCTATGGCCTCCTACATATACTTCCATTATACAGAATTACTGTATTTAAATGTTATTGATATATCTTGCTTTATATTACTAATTCCTTAAGAGCAAGATTCACATGTTTTCATGTTAGTATTAGGATAGTGGTTATCAGGATAGTGCCTAGAATATAAGCACTCAAAAATACTTGTTGAAATAATGTTGAAAATCAATAAAAATTAGCATGAATTTTCTCCGCCACTGGGTATGGCAACGATAAAATCATGAGTAACATATTTCAGAGTGAAAATTATTTGGTACCTACATGTACTGTCTTTGTTCAACATGAAAAAGATCCTTGCTTTCCATATTCTGCTCCAAAAGTGTTCTGTTCTGTAGCATCAATGTCTGAATTTGATCTAGTAGATGTCGATTTTCTTCTTCTAAATTTCCTTTAAGTTGGCTTAGCAACTGTTTAAGCACAAACATTTTTTAAAAAAATCAACATTTACATTTAACATAAACCATCGGAAAAACATGAAGTACTACATAGACTTAAGTGTTCCACTATTTGAACAATTAGATGATTGTACTTTGATCAGAGCATTATTATTTTAGTGATAATGACAGCTACAGCACTGGGTTACATGCCATATATATATATATATATTTTATTTTTTCTTAATTCTCACAAACACTGGGTCTGATATATAATAAATTATAAAACTCCCCAAACGCTGCTTTCTGTCTTTAAAACTGTTTATCTTATAGTATAGCCTAAAAGCTAGATTCAAATTTCTAGTATTTTATTTGCCTATGAAATGTTGGACAAGTTAGTTCTCAGATCTATGAAAGATGGATAGATATGAGCTCTATCACCCCACAAGATTGTTGCAAGGATTAATACATGTAAAGTATCTAGTAGCAAGCATATAGCACACATTAAGTACTTAGTATGTCTCATAATTTCCCCCTTCACTGTTTTCTTTTTTTTTTTTTTGTGAGATGGAGTTTCGCTGTTGTTGCCCAGGCTAGAGTACAATGGCATGATCTCGGCTCACTGCAACCTCTGCCTCTCGGGTTCAAGCGATTCTCCTGCCTCAGCCTCCCGAGTAGTTGGCATTACAGGCGCCCACCACCATGCCCGGCTAATTTTGTATTTTCAGTAGAGACGAGGTTTCTTCATGTTGGTCAGGCTGGTCTCGAACTACTGACCTCAGGTGATCTGCCCTCCTTGGCCTCCCAAACTGCTGGGATTACAGGTGTGAGCCACTGCGCCTGACCTCCATCCACTGTTTTCAAGAAACCTTAAAAGTCTGTGTATAGTTTTTGTGGCTTAATCAAGGGAAATCGGGTAATTTAGTTAATAGTTGGTATTAACATCTGGCATTCCTAGTAGTTGGGCTGCCAGCAGCACTGGGCCTTTTGTACCCAGTTCGTAGAAACTGGAAATATGCTTTAGCTAGGCCAGAGGTTCAAACAGAAGTTCAGAAGGTCCAAAGTAGTGATTCAAAAAATTTGGCATCCCTTGTAGAGTAGATATCTGGGCCCTAGCATTCAAATTCAGCTGGTCTGGAGTAAAGCCCAGAGATCTGTATTAAAAAAGCAAAAGCAACTAACAAATACCCGCCCTGCCTACACCACCCACACCCTAAAAAAAGAAAATAAACATTTTGAAAAATTTCAAAAGGTAGAGAAAATCTGGGAGAATGATGCTATAAATAACCAGAAGCAAACATCTAGATCTGTAACCGTCAAGATCATATTATGTTTGTTTTATTTATCTGTATTTTGTTAAACTGAAACACATGTGGTAGATTCCTTAAAAAACTGAATGCATTTATTTTCTTCCCTATTCCTATGCCCTCTTGCAATGTGACTTCTCACTTTTCCCGTAAATAAGTGGAATCTATTTCCCTTCTTGAATTTGGAATGCTTTTGGCCAAAAGAAAGTGTTGGAAGCGATGATATAACAGTTCCAAGCCTAGCCCTCAAGTTGCCTGTGTACTTCCACTCAGACTCTCGGAACCCTGCTGGAGGATGGAGAGACCACATGAAAGAGAAAAGGGTTATCCCTGCTGAGGCCACCATAGACCCGCCAGCTCTCAGCATATATGCCAGCTAATTACAGATGCAGGAGCAAACCCGTGGCCCATACATCATTGAGTAGATTAGCATATCTGCTCAGCAAACTCAGACTCATTAGGCAAAAAGAAATGTTTACCATTCATTACCACCAAGAGTTCTCCCATTGTTAAAGAGCATCATTGGTGTTAATAGACAACTGATAAAACATGTATACAGAAAAAAGAACAATTTTTGTCTTTTTGGTTAGACGGAGTTTCACTCTTTTGTCCAGGCTGGAGGGAAGTGGCACAACCTTGGCTCACTGAAACCTCTGTCCTCCAAGTTCAAGCAATTCTCCTGCCTCAGCCTCCCAAGTAGCTGGGATTATAGACATGCACCACCACACCTGGCTAATTTTTGTATTTTTAGTAGAGATGGGGTTTCACCATGTTGGCCAGGTTGTTCTCGAACTCCTGACTTTAGGTGATCCACCCGCCTCGGCCTCCCGAAGTGCTGGGATTACAGGCGTGAACCACCAAGCCTGGCTGGAGAACAAATTTTAAGTGTATATATATATGAATCATCACAAAGATAACATATGTGTTAAACCAGCATCTGGATCAAGACACAGAATATTAATTGTATTCCAGAAACACTTGTTCTACCTTCCCACCAATGTAAACTACAATCTCAACCTCTTATACCATAGATTAGTCTTTTCTACCTCCACTAAATCATGTCATTAAATGACTTAGCCCTCAGCCAATAATTAACATTTGACCCAAGTTATGAGAATTAGCCAGGGAAGCAAAGATAGCTAGGGCCCTCTCTGGTGTCTCTTGAATGTTTTCTGGACCACCACTGACATGTGGGATCTTATGAAGACCCACTGAGGCTGATTCATTTCTTGAAACTCCTGGTTTAATTTTTGACAAGTTCACTCGTCTCTTACTTGCCCCAACCAATATTTCAACCTCAAGTTATCTGAGAGTTGACCTTTGACAACTCTCCCAGGCATGGGGCTTTTCTATGCTCTGTTCCAAATCAAGTCAGTTTCCTCCAGTAGAAAAGTTGCTGGTTGGCCGGGCACAGTGGCTCACTCCTGTAATCCCAGCACTTTGGGGGGCTGAGGTGGGCAGATCACGAGGTCAAGAGATCAAGACCATCCTGGCCAACATGGTGAAACCCCATCTCTACTAAAAAATACAAAAATTAGCTGGGCATGGTGGTGCATGCCTATAGTCCCAGCTACTCAGGAAGCTGAGGCAGGAGAATTGCTTGAACCTGGGAGGCAGAGGTTGCAGTGAGCCAAGATTGCACCACTGCACTCCAGCCTGGCAACTGGCGACAGAGCAAGACTGTCTCAAAAAAAAAAAGAAAAGTTGCTGGTTTTCACAGCTTGCCCTATTCTCTGTCAGAGCTATCAGGTATAGGAACCAGGGAACGAGAAGAGGAATGGGAGGAGCCCCAAGATAAAATGCCTCAGACAACCACAGTTCCTTCCCAGAGTTGAACAGTTTTGCTTTAAGAAATGCTTCTCCATTTGTTATATGCTCTTGTTGAGTTCCAGAGTCCTAATATTGTTGTTTTTGACATTCTGTCCAATTTTATTGTTTCTTAAGGAGTTGATTTGCCACATTCCTCACTCTACCATTCTGGAGGTATGCCATCCTAATAACAATTTATTTACTTTTATAAATCATAAGTAGAATGAATTACTTTCTGAGCTTCGTTAGGTAATTAATCGTATGTTGTTTCCTACCAATTTTTCTATTGGTTTATAATTTCCTGCGAGGTGTAAACATTTTTTCATTAAATGAATAGACAATTTTAAAATTTTCAAAGAATCTGGACATAAGTTTAACCTAATAATTTTTAAAAGATCGTAATTAATGATATGGGAAGTTGTTCTGAATTACTTGTAAGTTTCAATGATACTTCAATGATACCAAAATCTTTTACAAATACTCCACTAAATGTACACTGCTATTCTCATTATAATACAGTCATTTATTTCTTAGGCATGTCTTGGTGCCTAAAGGAATGATACAGTGATTAAGCTTATTAAAGCTCACCTCACACTGGTTATTCAGCTTGGTGGATGTAATATCCAATTGTTGGTATTGTTCCTTTAGCTTTGAAAATTCAGCTTCTAATCTTGTTTGTTCCAGTTTGGAATTATTCAGAAGACTTTTCAAATTTTTATGGTCGGTTTGTAAAACTTCAGTCTCTTTTAAAAGTTGACTATAAGTATGATTCAACCTATAATTAGAAATCATATAAATATAATTAGATTATCTTAATAGCTTTTAGTGTAATTTATACAATATGAAATGATATAAATAACATTAAGGCAGACTTAGAATAAAAGACTGTTTTGTAAGTCATTAAACTTAGCCAAAATCAGTTTCTATTCTGTAAAAACTAGATTTTTAAAAATTCTGAGTACCTTTTCCTTGAAAAGAATTTTTTTTTTTTTTTTTTTGAGACGGAGTTTCGCTCTTGTTACCCAGGCTGGAGTGCAATGGCACGATCTCGGCTCACCGCAACCTCCGCCTCCTGGGTTCAGGCAATTCTCCTGCCTCAGCCTCCTGAGTAGCTGGGATTACAGGCATGCGCCACCATGACCAGCTGATTTTTTGTATTTTTAGTAGAGACGGGGTTTCACCGTGTTGACCAGGATGGTCTCGATCTCTTGACCTCGTGATCCACCTGCCTCGGCCTCCCAAAGTGCTGGGATTACAGGCGTGAGCCACCGCGCCCGGTGAAAAGAATTTTTAATTTCTTTTTTTCATCCATCCATCTGTACACTGGGAAAAATTTTTTTTAGTCTTTAAACATGTTGAAGTATAGGTACTCAAAGTTTCAAGCATTAATAAGAAAGTATTGGCTGGGTGTGATGGTCCATGCCTGTAATCCCAGCATTTTGGGAGGTGGAAGCAGGACCATCACTTGAAGCCAGGAGTTTGAGAGCAGCCTTGGAGATCATAGTGAGACTGTATCTCTACAAAAACTAAAAGTTAAAATTTTAAAAACATTAAAAATTAGCTAGGCATAGTGGTGTGTGCCAGTAGTCCCAGCTACCTCGGAGGCTGAGGTGGGAGGATTAATTGAGCATAGGAGTCTGAAGATGCAGTAAGCTATGATTGTGCTACTGAACTTCAGCTTGGGCAACAGAGCAAGATCCTGTCTTTTTCTTTTTCTGAGACGGAGTCTCGCTCTGTCACCCAGGCAGGAGTGCAGTGGCATAATCATGGCTCACTGCAACCTCTGCCTCCTGAGTGCAAGCATTTCTCTTATCTCAGCTACCTGAGTAGCTAGGACTACAGGTGCATGCCACCATGTCCAGCTAATTTTTGTATTTTTAGTACAGATGGGGTTTTACCATGTTGGTCAGGCTGGTCTCAAACTCCTGACCTCAAGTGCTCTACCTGCCTCGCCCTCCCAAAATGCTGGGATTACAGGTGTGAGCCACTGCACCCAGCCTATTCTATTTTTTAAAATTCTAAACTCAAACTATGGTTGGTACTACAAAGGGGCAGTATATATTTTGGATGTAAAGAATAATACAAAATAAAATATATATACACACACATAAATATATGTATATACTTTCTATATAAAATATATATGTTTATTATATATAACGTATATTTATTACCTATCATTTTCACCACAAAGTTTCTTGTATTCTGCAGCTACTGTTTCATGGTTTTTATTTTCAAGCAGCATTTTTTCCTGTTCTACTTTGAGCATCTTTTCCAAATCTTCCAAATGTCCTTTCTGTTTTAGTAACTGATTGTAACTGGGGGAAAAAAAAGACTTGGTTTATAATATTTCCTAAAAAGATATTTTAGAAATGAAGGAAGTAATTTATTAATATCATTTAAAACACAAGTAAATTTATATAAATTTCCTATGTAAACTAACATTAGATGTGTTTAATATATAAAATTTATTACACTACTTGAAGAAAATTGGTTTTAAATTCTCAATACAACAAAATATAATAAATTACCGGTCTTCAAGGTCTCTATGTTCCACCTCAAGATTTTTGTGGGCAGACTTTAGAGTTCCATGTTTAGAGATAAGAGATTCATACTCAGAAGCCTGACGTTCATGAAGAAGTTCCAGTTTTTCATGATCTTTTATCAGAGAATCATAGAGAGATTTTAGGTCTTCTCGATCTTTGATTACAGATTCATTTTCATTTTCTAAGGAAGACTGCTGGATTAGGAGTTGTGCATTCTGGTTCATAAGTGAGGTATTTTGGGAATTAAGGGTAGAATTTTCAACCTATAAGAATACATATTATTAGCAGACATAAGAAAAATAGTTCATGTTCCTTTGTAAAATAAAGATTACAATATTAACTAAAGAAAGGTCTAAATAAATCACAGCAGATATATTTACATTATACTGGGAATATTTGGATTTTAGCTTTCCAAGAATAAGGCTACCATTTAATTTTGATTTTGGAAGGTGTTATAATACACACACATACATACGTGTGTGTGTGTGTGTGTGTGTGTGTGTGTGGTCATAGAGGTATATATGTATTTTACATTTTGGGTTGAATTTATTTTAAATGAAGGTGATCAGCAACCATTTGTATTCCACTTACAGAAAAGTACAGAATTTGAAGTGCTAGTTTATCATTTCTAGAATTTAGTGATAGAAGTTGATAGAAGTGAAAAATTACTTTTGGAAATTTTCCAAGAGTCCAAATTAAATCAGTATTTTCTTTATCAAACAAAGTGTTGATGTTGATGAAAATCACTATCAAAGAAAAGAGTTACAGAAAGAAGAATGCTTTGGAGAGGAAACTTGTTTCTGCTCTTTAAAAGGTTTCAGAGAGTTGAACTTTTCCCCACCTGATTGTTCTGTTTGAAAAGGCACTGGCGGTGTTAAGTGAAAGATGGATCCTTTGAACTTATGACAAGCCTAAAGACGATATTCCTATGCTGTCCTGCTTTCCATTAACTAAAATGACAAAAGCTACAAAAGTGAAATAAGGAATAGTATGCTGCAACCATATTCTAAAGCAAGGGTTTCTACATCTAAATTATTATAATCAACTTACTGAAATGGCAGAAAGACCATAAAGTAAATATAATTTATCTTTATTTAGATGTATTAACTGAATTTATTAATATTTAAAGGCTCTGATATTTTAAAAATTGATGGCACTAAATAAAAATATTTTCATTTATCTTAATTAATTGTTAAGTTCATTCACTAAGAAACAATGTTTCCATGTTTAGCCTCCCTTATTTTAATAGCATAATTCAAGAGTTTGGTTAAATATTCCCAAAATATTATATTACAACCTGAAGCTTGGCATTCTGTGTTTGAAGAGTAGTATTCTGTTCCTGTAATGACACTGTCTGCCTCTGAAGTGCAAGAATCTGAGCCTGCAAATTATTGTTCTGTGTCTCAAGCTGCTTCAGTTGAGTTTTCAATGCTTGCTTCTCTGCTTGCAGTGTAGCATTCTTAAAAAACAAAACCAGAAACCAAACATATTAACAATAATGGCAATATAAAACATATTTCTATAACATACTGAATTTCATATAATGACTATTTATTAGCATTTTAATCCATAAAAACCCCAACAATCTTGAGAAAAAAACCAAAACATTTCCCCATCCCAAATTGTAAACATTTAATTTATCAGAAAGAAGGCAATAATACTAAAGCTTTAATATTGTGCCTGTGTCTTATCTGTATCACAATATCCTAAAAAATCGCATTCTAAATATATTGATTAATGTACAAACTAGAAAGGAATTGTCGGTTGTATGGTCTTAATACTGCTTGAACGTTCCCGGAATGCTCAGAATAAATGGGGCTGTGTCCAACCAAGGAGGTGTATCTTTTCTAATTTACCCAAAGGCAAATATATACATAAGTGGGTGGTGGTCCTAGAGAGAGTGGCAAAACTAAGTATATTCCAAACACGAATACTTCGAAGGGAAGCAGGTTTACAGGAACAATCTTAGTCTAAAACAGACCTAACACAGATGTTTTTTAAAATTTTTCTCATGATTTAAAATACCCATTAAAACTCTATTTCAGCTGTAAGACTCCTGGAGCATTTCCAAACAAAACACACAATTTTCAGTTTTTCCAATACATAAGGCCAAATTTGAGTTTTATAAACATATGAATTACTATGCAAATCAACAATTACATATTAAAATACCTGTCATGAATATTTTTAGGATTATTTCTAAATTAAATTTCATAACAAAAAAAATCAGCAACAGCAACATATAAGCAAAGAACCCTCCAGAAAACAGAAATAAAACTTTAATGTACAAAAGGTCATAATTGGTCTACCCTGCAGTATGCATAAAAAGTTAACAATTGAATCACAATAGATCCTTTTATCATATGTATATGTAAATATAACATTCATTTTATTGGCTTTATATACACTACATGTCACTGTGTAAAAGGCAGGTCAGGACTTGATCCACATATTAATATAAAATTGAATCTGAGGAAACAAAATGATTTAAGATGAGTTATGATATTATACTTCTCTTTTGTTTATTCAAATAAAATGGATGAAAAAATGTGTACTAGAAAAAACAGAATACTGATACTGATGAATTTATATACCATCCCAGTACAGAGGTGAACCATTTTCCACATATGTATGTGAAATACTATTGTAGTTAAGCACTTGAGAAACTAAATTGTACAAACACTACCGATTATTCCAGGTATGTTTGGAAATAAGAAAAAAATCCTATAGTCTATAGTGAATAGAAGAGATAGCTCAGAGGGTATTATCTTAGAGCAGGAAAAAAATTACAATGGAAAAGAAAGAAGTTAGCAAATATAGGCCTGGTGCGGTGGCTTATGCCTGTAATCCCAGCACTTTGGGAGGCTGAGGCGGGCGGATCACCTGAGGTTGGGAGTTCAAGACCAGCCTGACCAACATGGAGAAACCCTGTCTCTATTAAAAATACAAAATTAGCTGGTCATGGTCGCATATGCCTATAATCCCAGCTACTCAGGAGGCTGAGGTAGGAGAATTGCTTGAACCTGGGAGGCAGAGGTTGCAGTGAGCCAAGATCACACCATTGCACTCTAGCCTGGGCAACAAGAGTGAAACTCCATCTCAAAAAAAAAGAAAAAACAAAAAAAATTAAAAAAAGAAGTTAGCAAATATAATACTGGCAAACACACAAAAATTACCAGCCTATTATATGGCTAACCATCTTTACAACCCTGTTTTCTAAAATATATCAAGTAATTTTTTTCCAATGGAAATTTATAAAGGAAGTCAATAAGAAAAAAAAGTTCACCTTATAGAACTTCGTATGCCAGCTTAATTTTCTGAAATATAATTATGAATCCAAGCAACATAGGTATATATATCACTGATTAAAAATAGGCATTTATAAATGGCCAATAAATATATGAAAGATGTGTAATGCCTAACTCACAATTTTAAATGTACAAATTATTTCCTCCTATTGCTTTAACAAAAATTAAACACTAGGTAATATCCAGTGTTCATCTGGAAAGACAGGTATACTCTATTAGTGAGACTGAAAATTGACATGATTTTTAGGCTGGGTGTGGTGACTCACACCTGCAATCCCAGCACTTTGGGAGGCTGAGGAGAGCAGATCACTTGAGGCCAGGAGTTCGAGACCAGTCTGGGCAACATAGTGAGACTCCCATCTCTACAAAAAATTCAAAAGTCTCCTGGGTGTGGTGGCGTGCACCTGTGCTCCCAGGTACTTGGGAGGCTGAGGTGAGAGGATCACTTGAGCCTAGAAGGATGAGGCTTCAGTGAGCTATGATCTCACCACTGCATTCCAGCCTGGGAGACAAGTAAGACCCTGTCTCAGAAAAGGGGGAAAAAAAAAAGAAAAGAAAATTGATGTGATTTTTAAATACTAATAGAAATTATCAATTAAAATTACACACACACACACACACACACACACACACACACATATGTATATATATCCTTTGGCCTTGCAACTTCACTGTCAGAAATTTAGCATTCTATGAACACGTTTAAAAATAACCTAAATGTCCAGAAATGTGGGATTTATTTAAGTAAATTATGGTAACATACTACGGAATAATAGGTAGTCATTATACAAAATGAAATATATATACATCTGCTAAAATAGAGAGATCTCCAAGATAACATTAACTGAAAATACAAACAGGAATTTCATATAGCATGATCCCACAGGTATAAATTTGTAAAAGAAATATACTTCTACATATAGATAAATGACAAAAACATTTTCTAGGAAGATAAACTGTTTATAGTGATTCTTTTTGAATAAGAAAGTAGTAATCAATGGTGTGGGGATTAATTTTTGGTTTTAGCTTAGTTTTTTATAAAAGGTACTATTTTTGTGTTAAATTAAAAAACAATAACTACCACCACAACTATTTTACTTGTTATTGTGTAAGTTCCTTAAGTTTATTCAACTTATGAAAGGTAAATACTTGTTGTTCACTTAGTTTGCTTGTTGCTTACTATCAAGTATATATTGAACAAACTTAGCAAATATTTGTTAAGTGTCTAATACCTACCAGGCACTAATCTAGATAGTAAAGGTGGTAAAAAAGAAAGACAAATTACCTGCTTTCATAAATGAATACAAAATATAATTTAACTGTGAAAAGTGCTATGAAAAAAACTAAGAAATGGAAAAATAGTGAACAGTTTAAGTTGAGTATAACAACTTTACTGGGGGAAGAAGTCAGGGAAGACCTTCTGCAGGACATATGATATGCCACCCAAATGCTAAGGGAAGCCAGTCATGTGTTTCAGGCAGAAGAAGCAAAAAGGCAGGCGAGGTAGGAACAAATAGAAAAAGGCCTATGTGACTAGAATTTTCTTATTAAGTGTGATGAATTGTTTAAATATTAGAAAATGTATCTAAGATAAATATATCCAGTTATCCTCTATTTCTAAAAAAAACTATTCCTACTAAAATTAAAAAATACTTACATTTCTTTCTACTTCAATTAATCTGTCTTTAACTTTCAGAAGTTCTCTAGTCGTTTCTTGACTTTCTCGTTCCCATTTGTTGTCTTCACCAGATGTTGGAGGAGAGCTCTGTGCCATCCTTTCCTCATCCTGTCTCTGTTTGAGAGCTTCATAATTTTTTTTCACCTAAAGTTTTATTTAAAATATTTTGATGAGGAGAAAAAAATCACCACTGTTACATTTCTCACAATTAATTTGACTCTGGGCTGGTCTGATGAATATGAGAGGCAATTTATTTTTAAATGTGATGAATAATATGTATGATTTGTGATTTTGAAAATGCAAATCCTTTTCTCCTAGAAATATATAACATACTCTGCTTATGTGGCATGCTCCTACAATGTATCCTGTAATGTCAAATCCTATTGTTTGTAGTGAAAATGCCCCCAGATAAGTGGATTTAGGTATGTTTCTAATTAATAACAATTCTTTTTACAGCTATCTATAACCAGTTTAGAAATTTCACAGATATGTCTATGTAAAGCACAATGATTTGACACATTATTAATTTTATGGATATATCTTATTCAGGATTTTTTAGTTCTCAGTTGGCTCTCTTAAAGTAGATTATCATCACACTAGAAAATCCTGGATAAGCTATATCCTTGGATTGCTATTAACAACTTACTCATCATACATGACCACATTTGCCAGATTTAACTTAGTAACTCTTTCTCTTCAGCTTAAATTTACTATTGTACTTGTATTGAATTATTAAACTATTTTGAATCACTAGTTTATCCTAGGAGATCCCTAAAATAAATTTCAAATTAACCCCAACATTTGTATTGAGGGAAGGGTAGAAATGTTTTATAATTCAACATCTAATGCACAACTTAAGAAAGCCTATGACTCAACAATTAATACTGCCACCACTGAGTTGGAAAACAATGAAGTGAGACTAAAAAGATGCCAAGATAGAATGTGACGTCAAGTTTCACAAGCAATCTAATGGGTACCCTATGATCCTAGTTTTCTGGGTTTTGTTTTGTTTTTACTTTTAACACCCTATAACAATAGATGAGTGACACCATTTCTACTCTCTATTTTACATTAATTTCCCATAAGGTCTTTATTCTAGGTTTAGAAAGGCTATAAACATATGCAGTTATTAAGAAGGGGAGCTGAGAATAAAACTCAAGTCCCTTTCATTTTTATTTTTTTGAGATGTAGTCTCACTCTGTCACCCAGGCTGGAGCACAGTAGCACAATCCTGGCACTATGCAACCTCTGCCACCCAGGTTCAAACCTTTCTCCTGCCTCAGTCTTCTGAATAGCTGGGATTACAAGCACCTGCCACCACGCCTGGCTAATTTTTGTACTTTTAGTAGAGATGTGGTTTCACCCTGTTGGCCATGTGGTCTCGAACTCCTGACCTCAAATGATCCATCCACCTTGGCCTACCAAAGTGCTAGGATTACAGGCGTGAGCCACTGTGCCCAGCCAAAGGCCTCTCATTTAAAACCCATTGTTCTTTCAACTTTATGTATCATTAATCAAAATCTTTATATTCAGAGAGGAAATGAATATAGAGACTAGATAAAAAATAAGTAATTGTAACAAAGTATTTTAGAGTTAATTTAAAAACTGTCCATTAAAATGTAATTAAAATTTTAAATGTTGTGAATTGGGTTATGAATTCAAATTTTCAACAGTTCCCAAAGATAATGTAATGTTTAAAAATAGAGGTATAATTTTCATCAAGTTGCTAATGTACAGATTTTAAGTGAAATTCAGTAATTTTGAGAATGGCACACACCTATGTAACCCATATATCAATATGACAGAACACTTCCATCATTCTAGAAAGATCACTGTACCAGGCAACCACTGTTTTTCTTTCACAAAAATTCTTCTTATACTATAATTTCACACAAATAAAATAACAGTGTATATAATCTTTGTGTGTGTGTGTATATGTTTCTGAGTATATTTCTAAGCTTTATTCATGTGTTGATTGCATCACTAATTTTTTTCTTTTAGTCATTATTTCCAATTTTTTGATGATGATGAATGAAGCTGTTATAAAAATTTATTTATCTATGCTTTCATTTTCCTTGAGAGAAGAGAAGTAGCATTTTCATCTTCTTCTTTTTTTTTTTTTTAAGATAGAGTCTCACTCACTCACCCAGGCTGGAGTGCAGTGGTGCAATCTCAGTTTACTGCAACCTCCACTTCCTGGGTTGAAGCGATTCTCGTGGCTCAACTTCCTGAGTAGCTAGAACTACAGGTGTGCGCCACCATGCCCAGCTAATTTTTTCATTTTTTAGTAGAAACAGCAGTTCACCATGTTAGCCAGGCTCGTCTTGAATTCCTGACCTCAAATGATCTGCCTGTCATAGCCTCCTGAAGTGCTGGGATTACAGGTACGAGCTACCATGCCAGGCCACGGGCCAGGATTTTTTGAGATACTGCCATACTGCTTGCTAAATTAATCATAACATCTTGTATTTGCATCAGTATGCATGACAGTTCCAGTTGCTCCCAATTTTAACCAATATTTGATTAATATTTCCACATAAATTTTAGAATCAGCTCATTAATTGGCCTGTTGGGATTTTAATTGGGATTATGTTGAATCAAGAGATTCTGGGGAAATCTGCCATTTTAACAATATTGAGTCTTCTAATTCATGAACATGGTTCTTATCTCCATTTACTGAGTTATTCCTTAGGTGGTTTTAGTACAGAGTTTTTGCACACATTTTCTTAAATTTATCCGTAAGTATTTCATAGTCTTATAAATGGTGTTTTTCTTTTACATTTAATTTTCCAATCTTTCATTGCTTATATAGAGAAATAAAATATATTTTTATATATTGACTTTTACCCTGTGACATTGATAAGTTCACCTTAGTTGTAAAGTTCTTCTGTGAATTCCTCATGGTTTTCTGTAAATATAGTCATGTCACAGGTAAAGAAGGACATTTTTATTTCTTCCTTTCAAATCTGTATGCCTTTCATTTCTTCTTAGTACACTGGTTAGGATCAGTAGTACAGCATTTAATAGAAACAGTGAGAGCAAAATCTTTGTATTCTTCCTGATCAAAGGGGGACGGTGATTAGTCTATAGGCTATTAATAGAAGCCCTTTATCTGGTAGATTAAGTTCTTTCTACTTATTCTCCAATTATTGAGAGATGAGTATTAAACACTCTAATTGTAATTGTGGATTTGTCTTTCTCCATGCAGTTCTACAGATATTTGACTCATGTATTTTGCAGCTGTGTTACCAGGTATACCTCTGTTATTAGGTGCACAGACATTTAACCTTGTTATCTTCATGCTGGAATGACCCCTTTATAATTGCGCAATGAATTACCTTAGCTCTAGTGCTATTCATTGCACTAAAGTTTACTTTGTCTAACATTAATACAGCCAATCAAGCAATTTTCGGTTAGTTCTAGAATTATATATCATTTTCCATCCAGATTTCTTATAGGTAGCATATAGATGAGTCTTACCTTTTTGTCTAATTTATTAATCTCTGCCTTTTAACTGGGGCGTTTGGACCTTTTATATCTAACATAATTATTGACATACCTCAGTTTAAAACTGCCATCTTACTGCTTGTTTTCTATTTGTCCAATCTGTACTTTGTTCCCTGTTTCTTCTTTTTTTGTCTTTTGGATTTTTTTTTTTTTTTTTTTTGAGTCGGAGTTTCGCTCTTGTTACCCAGGCTGGAGTGCAATGGCGCGATCTCGGCTCACCGCAACCTCTGCCTCCTGGGTTCAGGCAATTCTCCTGCCTCAGCCTCCTGAGTAGCTGGGATTTCAGGCACGCGCCACCATGCCCAGCTAATTTTCTGTATTTTTAGTAGAGACGGGGTTTCACCATTTTGACCAGGATGGTCTCGATCTCTTGACCTCGTGATCCACCCGCCTCGGCCTCCCAAAGTGCTGGGATTACAGGCGTGAGCCACCGCGCCCGGCTGGATTTTTTAAGATATAGGCTCTCCCTATATTGCCCAGGCTAGTCTCAAACCCCTGAGCTCAAGTGATCTGCTCACCTCAGCCTTCCAAAGTGCTGGGATTACAGGGATGAGCTACTGTGCCTGGCCTGGATTTATTTTTTATGATTCCATTTTATCTCCCTTTTTTGGTCATATTACCTGTACCTCTTTGTCATACTAATTTAGTTGTTACTTTAACCCTTATACTACTCATATTTAACTTTCACAGTCTATCTTAAAGTAAATGCCTCTTCACATATAGTATTAAAAGTTTATAACAATAGCAATTCAGTTGACTACATAGCAGGAGCTAGTCCATAACAGTTATGGCCAAAGAGCTGAAAGTGGAAGTCAATGATACTTTTTTTTTTTTGAGACGGGGTCTCACTCTGTCATTCAGGCTAGAGTATAGTCACATGATCTTGGCTCACTGCAACCTCTGCCTCCTGGGTTCCAGCGATTCTTCTGCTTCCGCCTCCTAAGCAGCTGGGATTACAGATGCCCGCCACCACACCTGGCTGATTTTTGTATTTTTAGTAGAAACAGGATTTCACCATGTTGGCAAGGCTAGTCTTGAACTCCCGACCTAAAATGATCTGCCTGCCTCGGCCTCCCAAAGTACTGGAATTACAGGCGTGACCCACGGCATTTTAAATATCTACTTCAAACACAAGTACGAAACCCATACCCAAACACACCAATTCTCTGGTTGACTAGCTTCATGATGTTCATTTTATTTGTAACTCAATGATACTGCTAATGGGGTAAAAAAATTCAGGACAAAAGGCAGGTTAAAGTACGTTTTTTTTTAAATTTGTTTTTTGGATAATCCCGTTAGTTAACCAGACACAGTTCTAAAATTTATTCTCTGGCTCTGAGAATGTCTGGATGAAAAATAATTAAGTAAAATTTATTCTGTAACAAGGTATGTTCCATGGCAATGTCTGTGACAAATAGCAATAATGTTGTTGGCAAATAGTGATTAAAAAAAAAAAAAGCCTTTCCCTTTCTACATAAGAAATTCAACTTTGGTTAACTGTTCCTCTGAAATCTTGATGTAAATGGAACATTCTATGTTACCAGACAACATTGATTATTGAAAAAAATGGCTATTTAGGAGAACTTTAAATACCAATAGGCAGCCCTATCTCTGAACTTCCCTGAGAGCAGCAACTCTTATAATTGGTATGTGCACTGTGGAGATCTTAAATCTATGCCTTTGGAATTGCTGCAAGTGGTAATGGCTGCTATGAGCATGAGCATTCAAAGCCAGGGAAGGTCCTGCACACATCCAGTGTCTCTTCTTATACCTGAACCATCTGGTGGGAAGATGATTCTCAGAAGACTACGTGAAGATGACGGACTGCCACTGCCCTGCTATCTATTTGTATTTCCTACAGTGTTCTGAATAGAATGATTCTAAATGCAGCCTATAGTAATCTTGTCAGTCTAAGTGTTTAGTTAACCTTAAGACCACTCCTCGTGGCACTGCAGAGATGATAAAAGGGTGAATAAACCAGAATATGACTCTCCCAATCTACTATCTACTAGCCTTGTGGGATGGGCAAGTCCCTTATATTTTTATTTACTTCCTTAAGGAAAATAAACAGTTGCCTCTGCCGTGCTTACTTACTTCACTGAATACCTCCAAATATCACAAGAAAACAGATCTAGAAAAGACCTCAAATTTATGAGGAGATCTGGTGCTATCTTATATAACACACATATGATTTTCCTCTAACTTGGTATCCTCAAACTCATATTTTGCCTAGCAGAATTTTCCCTGGATCCTCAAAAGGAAAAGAGTGCCAGAGTGAAATGTCAGTATCACACTGAGCGCTTTCCCCAATAAAATAAACCTGCCTCTTTCTCATTCCACCCACACACTTCTGATATATCCCTAACAGCATGCAGGACATTATACACATGAAATAGTACTGAATAAACTACACCATATCCATTTGACAGACATCTGTTTATGAATACTAAGAAATAGACTAAATATCAATGTTTATATTTTTATTTTCTATTTTATATTTTTCTGTCCAAATATTTATAAAATAAATGAACATTAAAATTCTTTCCAAGAAAATTACTTACTGTTTTAAGTTCTTGGCGCAACTGCTGGTTATAATTCGTGGATTCTTCTAATCGAGCTTCTAAAGCAGCAATTTTTTCTTCTTTTATTTCAAGAGACTTCTTAAGAGTGGATTCTAATTTTGATTCCAAAAGTTTATACCTACTATCCAAGTACAAAGTAATATAGTTCATCATTGGAGGTCAGAAAATTATTTTTAAAGATAATTTATGACCACAAATATTCATGCTATAAATGGGTCTTATAAAAGCCTTTTTGTTCAAGAGGCAAATGAAATTATCCTCTTCTTACTGCCCCATTCTCCTTTTAAAACTAATCCTGACAATGAAGCAACAAAACCACTGAGTGAACAGAGAGCTCCAGATTATGGCCTAGATTATCAAAAGCAATAATTAATGTTCAAGGAATCTGGAAGATCAAAGTCCCAAAATATCCCTTTTAGTATTGTAAGAATACAATCTATAGAAAGAAGAAGTAGATGGATTCATTATATCATCAAGCATTTGCCTATGATATTAATGAATAAAGTATTTATGCAAGGATGTGTGAACACTTAAGACTTATAACTCAATGAAGACTCTTTATCTCAGGATACAGAGTAGTTACAGTAAAAAATGACATACTTATGGCATAGGATACTGGTGACAGAGTGGCAAGAGGGAGATGGATGTGACTGTTAGGATAGTAATTAACTTTCTGAATGGTAGATACATGAATAATTATTAACAAACACTTTTTTCACAAAAAGGATGGTGTATGAACACAATTCAGAGTGTATCACAAAGTAGTATTTATGATCCATTGCTTAAACGGAAGGACCCCTGAGACAAAACCAAATAAAAACATGTATATGAGAGTTTTGCCACGTTCTTTTATTGGAATTAATTTTTATGTAAATTTTTCTGTTCAATTAGATTTTAATTTCATTGAATACAGCGAACAAATCTGCTCATTTTGTACTGGCTCGAGCCAACATTTAAAAATCATTTATTGAATCTGATTTGCGATATGTTGAATTTGTGACACTTGAGTTGCTTCTGGTCTATCCTGATAGAGATACACAGTGAGAAAAAAAATGAGGATCTCAGGTGAGATGATGTATGAGAATGCTTAGCATACAGAATGAATGGATAAAAGACCTGAAAACATAATCCTGTAAACTATACTGAAAGAGAAGACAGAAGATAAGAGTGATCACCTCTGTTTACAACTCTACTACTAAATTAATTAATTAATTAATCAATCTATTTATTTATTTTGAGACAGAGTCTCAAAGCTCTGTCACTCAAGCTAGAGTGCAGTGGCACGATCTGAGCTTACTGCAGACTCTACCTCTCAGGCTTAAGGGATTCTTGTGCCTCGACCTCCCAAGTAACTGGGATTACTGGCATGCACCACCACACCTGACTAATTTTTTGTATTTTTAGTAGAGACAGGGTTTCACCATGTTGGCCAGGCTGGTCTCTAACTCCTGACCTCAAGTGATCTGCCTGGCTCAGCCTCCCAAAGTGCTGGGATTACAGGTGTGAGCCACTGTGCCTGGCTTACTAAATTTATTTCGTTGCATTTAAATTTATCTACTTATACATTCAATTCCAAAATTAGACGATATATTCCTTGATGGCAAGAATAAGTATCTTAATAAAAGTTGTACCTTCAAAAAAATTCAGAGAGAATATCATGAGTTAGAAAGATGGGAAAGTTAGGTCAAGTGCAGTGGCTCATGCCTATAATCCCAGCATTTTGGGAGGATGAGGCAGGTAGATCCTGGGGTCCAGAGTTTGAGACCAGCCTGGCCAGTGAAAATACAAAATTATCCAGGCATGGTGGTGCATGCCTGTAATCCCAGCTACTTGGTAGGTGGAGGCAGGAGAATCACTTGAACCCAGGAGGCTGAAGTTGTGCCACTGCATTTCAACCTGTGTGACAAGAGCCAAACTCTGGCTCAAAAAAAAAAAAAAAAAAAAGAAAGAGATGGGAAAGTTAGACTAATAAAGGAATTAGGGACATCATTTGAAATTGATATACATAAATCCCAAGGTGGAAGGCATGGCACATTAAAGGAATTTATGTCTGTGAGCTTCTGGTTGTTATTTTTTTTTGTTTTAATGATATAAAGACTAACTTCCTGGCTGAGAAAGAAGCTGGTTTAGTAGTTCAAGCCACTTTCTATTTCCAAAAAGCTCCATGCCTATGCCTAATTCTTTCATTATGTAAATAAATATATGGAAATAATGACTGCCATCACATGTTGTCTAGACCATTATAATCACTTCCTCACTGGTCTCTGTGCCTCCAAATTAATCCTTTTTGTAATCCATCTTTTATATTACTCTAAAAATTGCATAGCACATTTTTGTGCTTTTATACAAATGCTTTTGTCTACATGGAATGGGAATGCCCTTCCACACTGTTCCCACCTTGTAAACCTCTGTCACTTTTTAAGGTTCAGTTGAAACATTATCACTACTTAGATGCTACGTGATCTGCAGAAAAGAAAAGCTCAATTAACACTGGCTAACTGTATGAATTAAGGTTTGGGAAGAGGAATCAAACTGTATGAAGGGTCCACCCAGAGCTGGGTTCATAAATTTATAATACAGTCAATTAGCACTATAGGGTATACTATACTTTTTCTTTTGCAAAGAACATGCAGCACAGTATCTTACATATATTAGGTAATAAATCTGTTTGAATAAAGAGGGGATGCATATTCAGTATCTATATTTTAAAAAGTCTCCAGGAACAGTTTGAATAAAAAAAAAAAAAGTCAACGAAATCTCCACTTATCTGATTAATTCAAATAAAAATATTTCCACATGAAATATTTGTATAATTAATTCAATAATCACTGCTTGACTTGAACTGATTGCTAGAATAAATGACTCAAATTGTTTCTCTTTGTTATTACACAACTAACTTTTTAAGTATCACTCTATCCTATTCACTTTGAATATTCTCAAAATTACATGAACAAATACTATGTAATCACCATTAATTTTTTCAATATACATTGAATACAGATTATAAATACTGGAACAGTAATAAGTAAATAAAATATAAATTATATAATTACGAAAATTGAATGAAACTCTAGTCTACATAAAATAATATTCTTAACAGTATACAACTTCTATTCCAGCTGGATCCATGGAGCTGACTGGATGTTAAATAATAGACTACTTGAAAATCATATTAACTCTGTTTAATAGATTGTAATTACCATGCGAGAATACATATTTTCTTTAAACCTATATTGATCATTTTTAAAATTAAAGGGCATGAGTTAATTTTTTATCCTGCTTTTCAGGCTTTAGTTTTCCACACTATTTTTTACCTCAGTTGCTTTTCTTTTTCTTTGTTTCATACATGTTCTCCATTTATCTTTAAGCCAACATTTTGGCAAATAAACCAAAGAAAAGAGACAATTAAGCACATGATTCAAAGAAAAAATAACTTGCTTAATTGACTGTGTTTGATGAGCCAGAGGTTTGTTTGTTGTTAATGTCTTATTATGTTTTCACAGGCATTTACAGCCTCTGCTTCTGCTTCCTGGGTGGCATCCTGTTTTCCTATTTTGTAACTATATTTATATAGTAACGTTTTAGTTTTTTGTTTTCTTTTATCTATATTATATTGTCTATGATTCCTCTTTTTTCCTTACAGAACTTTAAGGGAAGAAAGAAACCAAAAGTAGAAATATATAAATGTTTTCTATAACTAGTACAGAAGAGAATTAATGTATGAGCAAAAAAAAAATTTTTCAACTGTTTGCCAAATAGATTTAGTACTCACCTGTCATCAGTACTTTGCTCATCATGTAAGAGTCGCTCCTTATTTAACCCTATCTTCTCAAGCTCATGAGTTAATTTTTCGAGATCATTGTTCATCTGTTGGGTCTTCAATTTTTCACTCACCAAATCCTTATTTTAAAAGAAATACAAAACTCACGTAAGTGTCAAGGGCATAAACATCTAAGAAAGTCAACTAAGATTCTAATTGCCACCATCTAGGAATACATATAATTTGAACCAGGAAATGTCGTTAAACCTTTCCTTCATTATTATAACCTTGTTGAAATAACTTTTTCCTTTATTATTTTTTTATTTTTTGGCTAATAATTTAAACAAAGCCTTAAAAGAGAGTTTAACTCTTTACTTGTGAATACACATTTAGGTTTAAAAATTTGGGGGAAAAACATATCTATTTACTTTTTAATAATGAGCCTGAATGTTAGTGCACATTTCTTCTTATAAATATATGTTGACTATAACACTTCTCTCCCACCAGATCCCTTCTTCCAGCGAAAGAGGCCCTATGATGCGGATATGAAGAACTAGAGGATGTTCTTAGAAGTTCAGGCATGAGGAACCTGTTGTTCATGTCTATAAGTCCACAGAAGAAAAAAATAAAAGGTCCCTCTCAATGCCTCTTTAGCAGAATGCAGACAGCCCAATGTGACCTTCTGCCAGAATGCTAACATACTTTGAAATTGAATTTAAAGAGTTATCACATACTATAATGCTTAGAGATGGCAAAAAAGAGCCAAAAACATAGATCTTCTGACTTGCACCAACAATGTTTCACAGGACATACTGCCAATCTACTACTCTAAGTTTCACAATTCTTCTTGATACACAGATTTAAGCAACTACTAGTTGCTCAGTGTTGAACAGTTGAACCTGATTTGCATTCTCTGGCTTCAAGGTCAAAATTCATGGGGCTTTGGAGTCTGGAAAATCTGGATTTGAATCCAATAATCCAACTCTGCTATTTATTAGCTGTGTGATCCTCAGTAAATTATTTCATGTCTCTGAACCTCAGTTTTCTATCTAAACAAATAGATATAATACTTATAAAGGATTTATTGTAAAAATTATGTACATGTATTAACAACTTATATGAAGTTTTCAGCCCAGACTTGGCACATAGCACTCAATAAATAATTGCTATAATGCTGCTTTATTATACTTAGAATTCAGTAAGAGTCTTGATCAAACATTATATTGAAATAACATTTCATTGTATAAGAATAACAAGCATTTGCCGGGCACGGTGGCTCAAGCCTGTAATCCCAGCACTGTGGGAGGCCGAGGCGGGTGGATCACGAGGTCCAGAGATCGAGACCATCCTGGTCAACATGGTGAAACCCCGTCTCTACTAAAAATACAAAAAATTAGCTGGGCATGGTGGCGCGTGCCTGTAATCCCAGCTACTCAGGAGGCTGGGGCAGGAGAATTTCCTGAACCCAGGAGGCGGAGGTTGCGGTGAGCCGAGATCGTGCCATTGCACTCCAGCCTGGGTAACAAGAGCGAAACTCCGTCTCAAAAAAAAAAAAGAATAACAAGCATTTATTATATTGAAATAAAGGTTCAAAATTATAATGCAATAAGTCAGATACCACTAGGAAACTTTATTACTACAAATTATTTTAAAAATACAATTTATAGGTATTTCTTAGTTCAACAACAACAAAAAATACATGATGCAAATTACTGATAGGATCCAATAAAAATTAAAGAAACCTTGAGTTGAAAATATAAATAATATTTGCCTTTAATTTAGGTAAATATATTTACCTCACGTAGTGTAACCAACGTTTTTATATCAATAGTTGCTCTTTTCACAAGCTCCTTATTTTCTTTCTCTAATTCTTTTAGACGGATACAAGATTCTTTACATATACCAATTTCTTTGGATAGGGTTTTGTTTTCTTTTTCCAAATTTCCAATCTTCACATTATTTTCTTCTAATGTGGTATCTTTAATTTCTGCTTGTTGTCGAAGTCTCTTATTTTCCTTCTCCAATTGTTTCTTATCCTTTTCCAATTGAGAAGTCTCTTGCTCTAATGATTTATTTTCTTTTTCCAGCTGTTCTAGTCTTTTGCTAGATATTTTTAGTTCTTCTAGGTTTTTTTGCAATGTTTGATTTTCCATCTCTAAGTCTTGTAATTCACTCTCTAATTGCTGGATTTTTTTATTGCTGTTCTCTAAAGCTTTTTGCAGTCTTTGATTTTCTATATCTAAACCCTGGTAGCTAACTTCTAAACGTTCTGTTTTCTTGAAAGATGCTTTCAGGAGCTCCAAACCTTTCTTAAGTTGCTCTTTTTCACTTTCCAGTTCTTTGTTTTCTAGCTGTAGCTGAGCCATTTTGATGCTTGCACACTTCAAAGATTCTACATTCCTTCGCAGTTCTAAGTTTTCCTCATCAAGTTGGGAATTCTCTTTTTCTAGGGATTCTAACTGAAAGGTCAGGTTTTTAAAGCTATCCAATGTTTTTTTAAATTTTCTATTTTCTCTTTCTAGCTCTGAATTTTCTTGTTCTAAGGCCTCAATTTTTTCACAAGTAATTTTTAAATTAGTTATTTTTTTCTGTAACAATTCATTTTCTTTTTCAAGATGATGCAATTCATTTTCAAGTTCTTCTGCTCTTTCTCCTTTTTCTTTATAAAGTTCCAATTCTTTTTTAATTTGTCTTTTTTCAAATTCAATCTTGCTTAGCTTGCTACTTGTTTCTTTGATAGATTCATGGAGAATTTTGTTTTCTTTTTCAATGTCTTTCACTCTTGCTTCTGCACTTATCTGGGACCGCTGCCTTAAAGAAGACACTGTTTGATTCAGATGTTCATTTTCCTGTTCCAATATCTTAATCTAATTTGAAAAAGGAAACAATTAAAAACTGTAATTGAGTCAAAACAAATTATGATTTATCCCTTCCAAAAACTACCAGGAAAGGGGGAACAAAAAAAAGGGTACTAGAATGTCTGTCTTACTTTTAATTCTGACAAGTATTTACTGAAGACCACTGGGTACACATACTGCCAGGCCATTTCGTGTCTGTGGGAAGTTCACAGTTTAAAGGAATGGTTGAGAAATGTATTTTCTATTAATCGAAATGGTCTTCAGATTATTTATAGTTACATGATTCAAATTCAAATAGGAATGCAGGTGTAACACACACACATAGCTCCTTGAGAACAAAAGGTTTTACTTTTACTAAGTAACTTTTCCAATGCCTATAGTGGGTCCTCAGTAAACATATGCTGTATCATATTTGTGTATATGGGCTTATATGTACGTGTATTCATTCCCAAAAAGAATTCTAATTAGGAAGCATCGAAATCACAAAAATCACCGGGTACGTTTGAGAACTAATTCATCCTATTTATAGCGTGACCTAATACAATGATTCTCAAAATTTAGTGTGTTAAATAATCCCAAGAAGCTTGCAAAAGTGCAGACTGAAGCTTAATCTAGACTTTTGGTTCTGTATCTGTAAAGAAACCTTCATTTTTATGGCTGGTCTGAGAACTATACCTGGACGATATAAAAAAAATAATTTTACTTCTAAAAAAATTAATGCCCAGGCATGGTGGCTCACACCTATAATCCTGGCACTTTAAAGGCTGAAGCAGGATTATCACTTGAGCTCAGGGATTTGAGACCAGCCTGGGGAGCATAGCGAGACTTTGTCTCTACCAAAAAAAGAATTAAAAAATTATCTGTGCATGGTGGTACATGCCTATAGTCCCAGCTGAGGTGAGAGGATTGCTCGCGCCTGGTGTTCGAGGTTGCAGTGAGCTATGATTGTGTGACAGCACTCCAGCATGAGCGACAGAGACAGACCCTGTCTCAAATAAATACATATTTCAAAAAAAAAAAGTCAATTAATCAATCCAGTTCTCAGTTTCCTCAAACATAAAATTAGAATGAACATTAAACACTTGAAAACAAATTTGATAATATCCAAGACAGTGTGGTTGCCACCACATTTCTCCCTCTTTGGTAGGTAAGAGGACAGCTGCATTTCCTAGCCAACTCCACTCAGGGACTCTAGAATCTGCAGTCCTATTCCACAGACGCTTGAAAGCACAAGTACTACAAATGTTTATACTAGATGATTATTAAACACACGGGCAGTTTAAAAAACCCTAAGCTTCGTCTTCAGCTTTCCTAAGATACATAGGTTAAAAAATGAGGTAAAATTATAATTCCTTTAAAATAAAAAACGTCTAAAGTGTTTCCCTTTAATGTTATATGAACATTTTGTTTGCAGATATTTTAAGTAACTTTTGCTAATAAATTTTAAAATACATTGTTTGCTTAGTAAAAAATGTATGAACCTGTCTCTCTGAATTTTCTCTCAGTGTTTCAATTGTTTTTTCAAGCTGAGCTTTCTCTTTCATTAGATCCTTGCTTAAATTCTGACAATTCTGAAGACTTTGCTTTTCTTGAATAATCTCGTTTTCCAGAATTTCAACCTAAAGAAAATTAAAACACAAAACAATATGTTAAATATTCTACAATGGTGAAAACATGTCAAAACAAAAGATAACTGAATAAAGGATGAAATATAGTTTTAATATCTAAATGCCAAAATTTAAGAACTTAGTATAGAAATTCAAGTAGCATTCCATGCTAATTTCCACAGCTGTATAAAATATGCAGACATGACTTCTTATCCTGTGCATCTTTTGGGGTAAGTTTCAATTTCTAAACATAAAGACAAATCCAGCTGAATAATGATAATGTGCTTTATGAGAACTATACAAGTTTTAGTTAAAAATTTTCTTGGCTTGAGTGGATTGTAAAGTAAAATTTTACTTATAACACAGAGAATTTCAGTGAGCAAGAAGGAAGGAGAAGATATAAAAAGAATGAAGGAAAAGATGAGAAATAGTACAGTATAAATTTAATGAGGAAAAAAGAAGAGACTTGGTTTAAAATTTAAAAAAGGGAGGAAAAGAATACTACTACAGAAAAAAGAACTAAAGAAAACTAGCAAATATTTATATTTTAGGTTCAAATTTCTTTTGAATTACACATTTTAGAGATAAAAATATTGTTAGTTAATATGTACAAAATAGCAAATTTAGATTAAAAATATGCTAAGACTATTGATTTTCCCATTATCATATAACATATTCAAACCAGGCAATTAAAAAAATTGAGAAAATTTTACAAAATATTCTATTTCAAGTTAAATGTTACTTATTCTTATGTCAATAGTGAAGCACTCTAAAGCAATTTTAATTTTTCTATTGTAACATTAATGGAAATAACTACACACATGGAAACAATCTTCCAATAATATTTCCAGCCTGGGCAACAGAGGGAAACCATGTCTCTACCAAAACTTAAAAAAAAAAAACAAAAAAAAAAACCCAAAACCAAAAAACCTAGCCAGGTGTGGTGGCTCATGCCTGTAGTTCTAGCTACTCGAAAGGCTAAGGTGGGAGGATTGCTTGAGCCTGAGAAATGGAGGTTGCAGTGAGCTGAGACTGCGCCACTGTACTCAAGCCTGGATGACAGTGCGAGACTCTAGCTCAAAATAATAACAATAATATGAAAAGCATCATGTCAAAAAACTTATCCAATAACTCAATTCAACATTAATTTACAGTTCTGGAAGCTTTCAGCTATGAATAATTAATCTGGTTCTCACATTACATGGATGGAAATATATGAATAACAGTTATTTAAACTCATTTGTTGTTTTGTATCAATGACATTAAAGTGAAACATTCAGTTTACAAAAAAATCTTTTGTGCAATTAATTGATCAAAAATGCATGAATCACTAAGAATTTGCAACTTAAACTTCAAAGCTAATTTCAAAAAGAAACTGTACCCTACAAGCCCAATTATAATGACAACAAAATAAAACTGTTCTAAATTCTAAATGGTCATCCTACTTTAACACTATATTGTCAAACACTTATTATTTATTTATTTTAAAAATAAAAAAAAAACTTGCAAGAATACCAAGGAGCCTATGAATAATCTAAGGCAGTGGTTTTCAAAGCATGATTCCAGGACAGCAGGATGAGCATCACTTAGGAACTTCTTAGAAACAATTCTTAGTCATGCATGCTTTTATGTTGGGATTCTATTTATGTAGAATTATGCGTACAGAAAGATATGCAAAAATAAAACACTTGTGATTGCACAACTGGAATATTTCTGTTCAACCAAAGTCTAATTAACATTCAGGTTTCATAATGCCTAAATTGTGGTCTCTAAATAACATTTCCCACTAAAAGGAATAAGAGCTTTTTAGAGAAATGGCTGTCTCTAGGCCTGGGACAGAAAACGTTCAAGTTGAGCCTAAATTATTTTGTCATGACAAAAAGCAAGAAAACTCTCAAGGGAGTGCTAAGGCCATGTCATAAGGATTCAGGACCAAATCAACTTTTACTTGGGAGTGCTGGGATCGAACCCAGGGCCTCACACACACAAAGTACACGCTCTACCACTGAGCTACACTCACTACTGCCAAATCAACTTTTAAAAAGGCTTCCACTAGCCTGGGTTGAGACAGTAGGAAAAGCAAACGCAGTGGTTTGAAACAATACAAATATTTTTAAGTTCATGGGTTCACAATGACACTAAAATAACAAACTCACTTATTTGTTGTCTCAAGAGGATATGAGAGAACCAATTCATTACTTGGAAACTGGTAAATATAACTTCTCAAGCCCTACTTCTTCTTCTTCTTCTTCTTCTTTTTTTTTAACACTGAGTCTCGCTCTATGGCCCAGGCTGGAGTGCACTGGTGCAATCTCAGCTCACTGCAACCTCCAACTCCTGGGTTCAAGCAATTCTCCTGCCTCAGCCTCCCGAGTAGCTGAGATTACAGGCACCCACCACCATGCCCAGCTAATTTTTGTACTTTTAGTGGAGACGGGGTTTCACCATGTTGTCCAGGCTGGTCTGAAACTCCCGGCCTCAGGTAATCCATCCACCTTGGCCTCCCAAAGTACTGGGATTATAGGAGTGAGCCACTGTGCCTGGCCAAGATCAGCTAGTAAGTTCTTAATTGTTGAAGCTGAATAATAAGTATAGAGTTCATTCACACCATGTTTATGTATATTTGAAAATTTCTGTAACAAGGTAAAATAACATTGAGGGTGCATTTGAAAAGTGGAAAATAAATGCGCCATTTATTTACACTTTTACAAGTATTTTTTAACATTACAATAAACATTACATTTTAATTTACCTTTTTATTGAGTCTCTGATTTTCTTTTTCAATTTTTAGGATTTTGGAAGCGTTGCCTTCTACAGAATCCATAGTAGTCCGAAGCTCTTCTACAGTTTTTGTCAAACTTTGGTTTTCCATCTCTAGCTTCAATAATCTACTTGAGGTTAACTCATTCACCTCATGGCCCAGGGATTTCTGTGGTGCTAAAATATTGAAAAATACACCATTGGTAAACCTATGTTTACTCTTTACTTTTTAAAAAGTTGAGCATATATGCATTGCATCATCTGATCCTTAACTTTAATAAAAATTCAACGAGGTTATATAAGATAAACACAATAAGAGAGGTGTTTTTTTTAAGAGATGGGGTCTCTCTCTGTCACCCAGGCTGGGGTGCAGTGGTACGATCCTAGCTCACTGCAGCCTCAAGCTCCTGGTCTGAAGGGATCCTCCCACTTCAGTCTCACAAGTGGCTGGGACTACAGGTGTACACCACCACAGCCAGCTAATTTTTTTACTTTTTAGTAAAGACTGGGTCTCTGTTACTTAGGCTGGTCTTGAACTCCTAAGCTCAAGCAATCCTCCTGTGTTGGCCTCCCAAAGTGCTGGGATTACAGGCATGAGCCTCTGCACCCAGCCAAGAGATAAATCTTTAACTTTTAATGCATCCACAACATTCTATAGAAAAAAAGTACAAAATTTAGATTAAAGAAAGTGGAGCTCCAGTAGACCCATTAAATATTTTGCTAATATAAAAATATTAGGATTTATAAATGAAATATGAGACCTATGATTTCAAGACAGTAAATGAATGAAGGTATTGGAGGGAATTGGCAGGTCTGTCTACTTTTGTGTATGTTTCAAATTCTTCTTCATAAAAACCAAAGAAATACAAGCACTTCCAACATATCCCCCCATCATGAATAAAATCTCTTCAAAATTAGATAAGTAAATAACCTCCATAGTTATGAAAACCTCAATTTTTATTTCCAGCTTTCTAGTCATCATGTTGTTAATCTTTTACTGAAGGTTGGTATACCGAATAGCTACTGACTTTTAAAATTCCATTAGTTGCCCAAGTCTTTTTTTAATTAAAAGATTATTTAAATTTAACTATAAATTTATAGGATACATTATTCTAAGTAGCAGCCAATGAAGTATTAAATGGATTTTGAAAATACAATACTACTTGCTTTATTTTGGCTAAAAGTTCAAAATGTTCTGAGAATGCTAAAATTATTTTAAAATCTTTTTTCCAGTTCCATTCATTATCCCTTTATAAATCTGGTTCTGTCTTATAAAATCTATTAAAACACAGCATAGAAACAGTTTAAATATATATCATTCCCTGATCGTAGCATTATTGTTAATCCAACCTGGATTAGATGTTTTTAAATGGTCACCATTATATATAATAGATCTCTTGAACTCACGCTCATCTAAGTGAACTTTTTTGTCCTTTGACCAACATCTTCCCAATACTCTCACCCCTCAGCCTCTGGTAACAACCTTTTTACTCTGTTTCTATGAGTTTGAATTTTTTGGATACACATATAAATGAGATCATACACTACTGTCTTGCTGTGCTTAGTTTATTTCTCTTAACACAATGCCCTTCAAGTTCATCCATGCTGTTGCAAATGACAGAATTTCATTCACTTTTTTTGGGGGGGGGCGGAGCAGAGTCTCACTATACTGCCTAGGCTGGAGTGCAACAGAGTGTAATAGGGTGATGTCAGTTCATTGCAACCTCCACCTCCCAGGCTCAAGGAATTCTCCTGCCTCAGCCACCCAAGTAGCTGGGATTACAGGCACCCACCACCACACCCAGCTAATTTTTGTATTTTTAGTAGAGAAGAGGTTTCACCATGTTGGCCAGACTGGTCTTGAACTCCTGACCTCGTGAGCCACCCACCTCAGCCTCCCAAAGTCCTGGGATTACAGGCATGAGCCACGACACCTAGCCAGAATTTCATTCTTTTTTATGGTTGGATAATATTCCATTATGTACATAAACCACATTTTCTTTATCCATCATTTCATTGACAGACACAGGTTGATTCCATATGTTGACATTTGTGACTAATGCTGCAACGAGCATGGGAGTGCAGATATTTCTTTCATATACTGATTTCATATCCTTTAGATATATACCCAGGAGCAAAACTGCTGAATGCTATGAGAGTTCTATTTTTAGTTTTTTGAGGACCCACCACACTATTTTTCAGAATGGCTGAACCAATTTACATTTCCACACATTCCATAGAAACTTAAAAGCACAAGTACTGAAAACTTTTACACTAGATGATTATTAAACACCATTGGCAGTTTAAAAACTTCTAAGCTTTCTCTTTAACTTCCCTAAGATACATTCGTTAGAAAATGAGGTAGAAAAGTTCTGAAGCAAATTTTTTGAAATGAAAAGTGGCTTAAGAAATTATTAGTGCCTCTTATTTCTTTTTTTTCCCAAAGTCTGTATATTTTCTAGAAAGAAAGTCCCTTGTATACTTAAAAAAATAAAAACTACACCACAGTAAAGCAAATATTCAGTTCTACCACTCCAGCTAAGATCAATTCCAAAACAACTGCGACATAATAATGATATTTAATACCTGAATGCTTACTATTTAGCAGGCACTACACTTAAGGGCCCTGCAAATATCAACAATTTAATTCTCACAGCTCTAGACGATATTCACTATTTTGTCCCCACTTAACAAGTAAGGAAACTCTTAAGGAACAGAGTAATTCTAACTACCTTCAGTAGAAAACATTTAAGTTTGAATTGCTTTCTTTGTACTCAATTCACAAGGAATATAATTTTTAAAGTTTCACAAACATTTTAAGTAACACAAGTTCAATGACTGAATATCATCACTCACTCTATAGTCAGTACATGGGGCCCTAGAATTTGGATTAGGCTCTCAAATTAAAATAATAAGAGCCTAATTGGTAATCAATATGATGAATCATCTGTAGAAGTAATTATTCTGTAAGCACCAGATTATAAAATCTCAGAGTTTATGTCTACCTCAACATTACATTCTCAAAGTCTGGTATAGTATTTTACACATGGTAGGTGCTCAGTAAATATCTGCTGAAGAAATGCAAGCAGAACAATCTAACACTGGGCAAAACTGAGGAGTTTTGAAACCAGCCTAATTTGAATAAATGTGACCTAACCGGTGAATTTTTTTTTGTAATTTCAGAAATCCATATTAACATATCCAAAGCTATAATGCAAACAATTGTACTGTATATAATTATGCCCAGCTTTAAGAAAGAGGACAAGTCAATGTGAAGCCTGGAAAAAAGAGGCAAAAGTTAAAAATTTACCTGGGGGATCTGCCATTAGGTCCATGGTGATAACCAGGCTGGGAGGGTTGGCAGGTATAATCTTATAATGGAGATTATACATACTACAAGTAGCCACAAAGATCCTTAAATTAACTCATTCCAACTATATTTTCACCTACAAATTTGTCCATTACCCTTTGACTTCCTATTTGGGTTTACCTATAGTCAAAAAACATGCTGACCACTAATATGGCTTTTCTGTTATATTTACTAGATGGCTATATTTCTTAAGATAATTTAATAAACTGGTATTGCAAGTTCTTGGGATATTAACATGAAATAGTGGCTAAGCAACCTATCAAGTCTGTTATTGCATTCATAAAATTCAGTTTTAAGGGATAGGCAAAGCTAGGGACCAGACCCAAGAAAGTGCAAACAATATATTACTGTGTGAAATAATATCTATGCAGACAGGTAGTCTTCTGAGGTATCTCCCCACTGGCGAAAATAAAGAACCGCAAGTAAACATAAACACAATTTTATGATTCAATTATGAATTTAAATAAAACAAAAATGGGAATACCTTCAGAAAGTTCACTAGTTCTGGATATCTGTTCCAGCTCCCAGCCAAGATGTAATGATTCATCCATACTTTGTTTCTGTGCCATTTCCAAAGTCATATTTTCTTCCATTAATTCTTCAATTTTTTTTCTATCCATATCTCGTTCCTTTTTTATTGGCAAGGATTACAGAGAGGAAAAAAAAGCCAAGAAGCAGTACAATTTCAAGCAAACACTTTATTATTCACAACTTTTATTTATCTGAAACTCAGTAATAATAAATTACAAGTTCCTTAAATTTTTCCATTTTGAAGGCAATTATAATTATTACTGGTCATCATACTGATTCAGTGTCTGACAACCTTTTAAGCTGATCTTTGGGGACACAATGAAAATTCTTCTTCCATAGTCAAGATACTGTTTTAGTGATATAACAAAATAATTATGACCCAATGCTAAATTTTAGCAGATTTATTTCTGTATTTTTAAAAACATGTTTACACAATAGCTTATTGTGGTATTGAATGCTGAAGATAAAATTAGTAAGTAACATGCTTCTGTAACAAAAGCAGAAATTTCTACTACTTCTATAGTTATATAAAGTTAGATGCTCTAACTTATTTAGCTATCTCTTCTCTGTTAAAGCCTCAAGGACACTAGCCATCCCTGCCAATATAGGGAAATCAGCAGAATCTTACAAGTTTTCCTTAGAAGCCATGTAATTGATATACCTCTTAAAACTTACCATTTCCATATCATGAAGTTTAGCTTTTAGTTGTAAGTTCTCTTTTTCCAATTCATGTAATTTATCAGAACGAGCACGAGTTCCTTCTAGTTGGTCTTCCAACATGGTTTTTGTTTCTAATAAAACTTGATTGTCTTCTTTTAATTCCTATAAACATTTGATATAGGCCTTATTTATCACAAATATGTTAATATCTGTTAATTTTTTAAAGTTCTGGAACATAAAGATTATCATAAAACATTAAGCCATCTTTATCAACAGTTCTACGCATGAGTAAACCTACTGAGGAAGAGAAATACAATTAATGTTTTCTTGGCTTCCTTTTTACCCCAGAATGCAAACAAAACATTCAGTACTTATATTAAGATATACAATTCTACCATAATTTCACATGAAATTGGCAGGATATATTTAAATTCCTTAGTCACAAGGATAAGGAATTAACTAAGTACAAGTAGTCTTTCAGATATTTAAGATACAAATCTCCATGGAATCAAGGCTTAATGTATTGACTGAAACAGATTTAAAGATTTCTCTATACTTTGAGCTATAACTTGAAAGTGAAGGGCTTGAGGTTTTAGTAGTAAAATACCACAACTTGAACCAGGACTCGAATAAATCATAAACCAAGGCTCTATTTATAAATATTTTACATAAACATACCTTGAGGAAATCCTTAAAAGTCCCTGAATATGTTTTGAAGATAAGTGTTCACAATTCTATCTTGCTTAAATTATATGCCTATGGTTTCTAAACTTAAATCTAGAAAAGTTTCTAAACTTAAATCTAGAAAAGGTATTCATGAGAATCTCTTAACAGTGTCATGCATACACATGTCTTTAAATAAGTGGAAAATAATTAATATGTACTTTACCTCTACAGTCCGATTGGGTCTACATACTGGTAACCTTCAACCTAAAATGTTCTAATTACTTTCTCTTATGTTTTCATTTCTTGATTTTGTATACTCCCTCCTTCTTATCCTGATATTGAAACTGACCAAAATCTTCTGTTTACAGATAATGAGAAAATTTTGAAAGAAAAAAAGACACAAGACCTGTCAAATTCTTTTTTGTGTTTTGTTTGAGGTGAAGTCTTACTCTGTCACCCAGACTGGAGTGCAGTGGCGTGATCTCAGCTCACTGCAACCTCTGCCTCCTGGGTCCAAGCAGTTCTCCTGCCTCAGCTTCCTGAGTAGCTGGGATTACAGGCATGAACCACCATGCGTGGCTAATTTTTGTATTTTTAGTAGAAACAGGGTTTTGCCATGTTGGCTAGGCTGGTCTCAAACCCCTGACTAAAGGTGATCCGCCTGCCTCAGCCTCGCAAAATGCTAGGATTACAGGCGTGAGCCACCATGCCTAGCCTGACCTGTCAAATTCTTAACAAACTCAACTTCACATAATACTGAACTGTAACTATCAAGTTAGAAAAACCGTTTTTTGTTTCCAGTCGTTTGTATCTATACAGGCTTCATTAATCTTAATTTAGTAATCTCAGTTAAGAAGGAATCTGAAATATGTTTTACTTTCACTTTGGGGAACAAGTTTGAAATTAGTAGAAATAAATATTTTTACTATAAGGGAAGGACTTAAAAGGTCTGCTCTACCTATGATGCTAAGAAAAGGAATAAAAGAAGAGCAAAAAGAGTTCAATAAAATCAGTAATATCCACAGATCCCTTTGTAAAAGTCTAACTAAAAACAATATGCTAATCTATCATAAAATAAACATACTCAAATGTATTTACTGTTCGTTCACCATTTCAAGAGTTTCTCATGTTTATTAACTGCATTTTAAATGTGTTAAAATTCTAACACTTTCAAAGAAAAAAAATATTATGAATGGTTAATTATGCAACATACCTCAACTCTTGCCTTATAAAATTCAATATCATGTAGTCTCTCTTTGTATCTGCTGACTTCACTTTCAAGTTTATCAACTCTGATTGCTTTCTCTCGAAGTGCATCCAATTCATCTCGGTACATTCTGGCAGAGCGAGCATCCGAAAGCAAATTCATGTTCTAAATAAAAATTAAAAATTATATTTTAAATACTATTTTAATACTAAAATTTAAGTAGTATTTAATTTTAAATACTACTCCAAGTAGCTAGGATTACAGGCTCCTACCATCACGGCCAGCTAATTTTTGTATTTTTAGTAGAAATTGGGTTTTGTCATGTTGGCCAGGCTGGTCTCAAACTACTGACCTCAGGTGATTCACCTGCCTCAGCCTCTCAAAGTGCTGGGGTTACAGGCATGAACCACCACACCCGGCCCATTTATTTTTATTTTTATTATTTATTTTTTTGAGACAGAGTCTTGCTCTGTCACCCAGGCTTGAACCCACCTCCTGGGTTCAAGTGATTCTTGAGCCTCAGCCTCCCGAGTAGTAGGCATTACAGACATGCGCGACCACGCCCGGCTAATTTTCGTATTTTTGGTAGAGACAGGGTTTCACCATGCTGGGCATGCTGGTTTCAAACTCCTGACCTTGTGATCTGCCTGCCTCAGCCTCCCAAAGTTCTGGGATTAAAGATGTGAGCCAATGCACCCAGCCCTATTTTTTTTTTTTTTTGGAGACAAAGTCTCACTTTGTCACCCAGGCTGGAGTGCAGTGGCACAATCTCAGCTCACTGCAACCTCCACCTCCAAAGTTCAAGAGATTCCTGTGCCTCAGCCTTCCAAGTAGCTGGGCTTACAGGTGTGTGTCACCACATCCAGTTAATTGTTCTATTTTCAGTAGAGACAGGGTTTCATCATGTTGCCCAGGCTGGTCTTAGATTCCTGGCCTCAAGTGATCTGCCTGTCTTGACCTCCCAAAGTGCTGGGATTACAGCCATGAGCCACCACATCCAGCCTATTTATTTATTTTTGAGACAAAGTCTAAGACAGAATTGGTGGTTATTTTTTATGACCTTTTTTTTTTTTTTTTTTTGAGACAGGGTCTCACTCTGTCATGCAGGCTGATCACTGGCACATTCACAGCTCACTGCAGCCTCAACCTCCCAGACTCAAGTGATCTTCCCACCTTGGCCTCTCAAGTAACTGGTACTACAAGCATGTGCAAGTACGCAAAGCTTATTTTTTCATTTTTTGTAGAGAGGTTTTGTCATGTTGCCCAGGCTGGTCTTGAACTCCTGGGCTCAAGCAATCCACCTGCCTTAGCATCTCAAAGTGCTAGGATTACAGATATGAGCCACTGCGCCCAGCCCAAGTGACCTAATTTTTTTTTTTTTTTTTTTTTTTTGAGATGTAGTCTTACATTGCTGCCTGGGCTGGAGTGCAATGGCGTGATCTCGGCTCTCTGCAACCTCCGTTTCCCAGGTTCCAGCAATTCTCCTGCCTCCGCCTCCCGAGTAGCTGGGATTACAAGGGCCCCACTACCATGCCAGGCTAATTTTTTGTATTTTTAGTAGAGACAAGGTTTCATTATATTGACCCCCTAGGCTGGTCTCAAATTCATGACCTCATAATCCGCTCACCTCGGCCTCCCAAAGTATAGGGATTACAGGCGTCAGCCACTGCACCCGGCCAGACTCAATTTTTTAAAAATTCATAGTTTTTGTTCCTAATATGGTAAATACCAACAGATATAATTCACATTAAAACAATTCTCATTAATTTTTAAGACTGCTGAGGAGGCTTGAGACCAAAAAGACTGAAAACTACTACTTTAGAGAGAACAAACACACATTAAAAAAAACTCTAGTGTCAACAAGTAGAAAAGCAGCCATAGCATGTCTAGAAATAGACTATGAAGCCCAGTCTCATTTAGCTACAAAGGTCTCAGTTTATGATCCTGCAATTGTAGTCTTCCCTGCATTAGATGGCAGGTATGGGGAAGTTAAAGGAAGAAACAACTATACAGCCTTATCCCAATCCTTGGCACTTACTATTAAAGAGTGCCACACGCTAACCCCAAATAAAAATGAAACATTAGAGTGATTGTAAAAGTGAACTATTAATTATTCTTGGTTTAAGGTGAAAAAAGAAGCAGCATCTCCAAAATAAAGATACTGCTTAAAAAAGTAAAAAATTTTAATCTTATTTAATAGGAAAAGAGTGAAAAAAGTCAAAAAGCATTTACTTATATATAAGTTAACATAAAGCACTATCGGAGCAGAAATACACAGAGATACACATAAAGAGCATAGTTTACAGTAGAGGTGTTCTAGCTTTCAAGGCCACAGAAGCCAAACACATCAAAAAGAAAAATGTGGAGCTACCCCAGTCCTAAGTAGCTCTTACACTTCTTAGCAGAGTTTGAATAGCACTAATACGGAAGAAAGTTTTGACTCTGGCATTTTTGAAGCGAGAGACTCTGAAAAAGTGATCTAATCTCATGAAGCCTCAGTAACCTCATTTATTTACATAAACCATTGAGGTAAAGGTTATAAATTACAAGGAAGAAAATCAGTCAATTTCCAATTACTCGGTGGTCCTAAATAATAGATATTCTAGGTACCAACCTCTTGTTGCAGCCTTTTGAGTTCTATTTCCATTTGCTCAAGTTCTTGTTTACAATCCAACAACTGTTCAGTCTTTTCCTCCCTTAAATGCAAAAATATATTCAGTAAGTATACTACTTTTGAAAATTGTGATTGTTATCTGTTAATATATTATTATCATTACTAAATAACTAATACTAAATAGTATTAGTCGAACATAGTATTAGCCATAACCCTAATGCAGAAGAGGGAAAAAAAAAAAGACAGATATTAGGAATTTATATAATTAGATGCCATTAATCAAACCTCCTTCCTAATGTTTTCCAAAGGCTAACCTCAATGGCTAATGTTCTCATAGTACTTAATATACGTAATACAGATTTTCTTTTCTTTTTTTTGTTCTTTTTTTGAGACAGTGTCTCCCTCTGTTGCCCAGGCTGGAGTGCAGTGGCACGATCTTAGCTCACTGCAACGTCTGCCTCCCAGGTTCAAGCAATTCTCCTGCCTCAGCCTCTCAAGTAGCTGGGAATACAGGTGCGTGCCACCACACCCAGCTAATTTTTTAAATTTTTTTGTAGAGACGGGGTTTTACTTGATCTCTTGATCTTGTGATCCGCCCACCTCGGCCTCCCAGAGTGCTGGGATTACAGGAATGAGCACTTCGCCTGGCCTCAGTTTTTCTCTTTCTCTTTTTTCATCTTTCTTGCCCTCCACCCCTTCTATTTCACTCTTCTTTCTCTCTCCCTCACTCTCTGTAGTCACAGATAGTTAAGCTAATATATATATATTTTTTTCTGCTGCCCAGGCTGGAGTGCAATGGCACGATCTCAGCTCACTGCAATCTCTGCCTCCCAGGCTCAAGCAATTCTCCTGCCTCAGCCTCCCCAGTAGCTGGTATTACAAGTGCCCGCCACTAGGCCCAGTTAATTTTTGTATTTTTAGTAGAGCTGGGGTTTCACCATGTTACTCAGGCTGGTCTCAAACTCCTGATCTCAGGTGATCCACCTGCCTCGACCTCCCTAAGTGCTGTAATTACAGGTGGGAGCCAGTATGCCTGGCCTAAGCTAAGAATTTTTATCCAAGGCAGTACTACCTGGGTCTGAGACTTATAAGGGTCTTCAACAATTTTCAACATTTACAATGGCTAAAAGGAAATTATACACTTCCGATTACCATAAGATACATAAGATATTTATTTCTCTATTGGTTTCTGCCTCCTAGCCTATAAACATCCTCAAATTTCTTCAATTATTTTTTTCTCTTAGAAATTGTTTTACTTCTAATCCCCATTTTCTCTCTCTCCTTCACGGCCAAGCTCCTTAAAGTAAGCCTGCACTCACTATCTCTACTTTTCCACCTTCTGGTTTTTAATAATAAAAAAAGTAAATGTTTGCTGTATAAAACAACTTATTGTTCTCATCTCTTCGTGCCCTTACATTTTTCAAAACCATTATATATTAATATGTTATAAAATATGTGTATATTATTTTAAAATATGTTATTAAAATATATATGTATATACTTTAAGAGATAGGGTTTCACTCTGTCACAAGTGACAGCTTGCACATGCCACTGTCCAAGATGAAGTGCAGTGGCATGATCAAAGCTCATTCCAACCCTGAACTCCTGCAGTCAAGTGATCTTCCTGCCTCAGCGTCTAGAATAGCTGGGACTATAGGCATGTGCCACCACTTCCAGCTAATTTTTTGTAGAGATGAGGTCTCACTCTGTTGTCCAGGCTGGTCTCGAGCTCCTGGCCTCAAGCAATCCTCCTGCCTCAGCCTCCCAAAGCACTGGGATTACAGCCATGAGCCATGGTGCCTAGCCCAAAACCATAATTTTGAATGGTAGAAAAATATTCCCTTTGCTAAAGAAACCACACTTTATTAAGTGGATTCCATTTTTCATAGTACTATTTAATCTTTTTACTATACATAAAATCCTGTGTATTTCATGACAGTTTTCTTTTTCTTTTCTAAGAGACAGGGTCTCACTACATTGCCCAGCCTTGCTTTGAACTTTTGAGCCCAGAATTCCACCTCAGCCTCCTAAGTAACTGCGACCACAAGCGCACACTGCTGTGCCTGGCTTTTGGGACAGATTTCTAAAAGTGCATTAAAAGTTAAAAGGCAGCCGGGCGCGGTGGCTCACACCTGTAATCCCAGTACTTAGGGAGGCCGAGGCGGGTGGATCACGAGGTCAAGAGATCGAGACCATCCTGGTCAACATGGTGAAACCCCGTCTCTACTAAAAATACAAAAAATCAGCTGGGCATGGTGGCGCGTGCCTGTAATCCCAGCTACTCAGGAGGCTGAGGCAGGAGAATTGCCTGAACCCAGGAGGCGGAGGTTGCGGTGAGCCGAGATTGCGCCATTGCACTCCAGCCTGGGTAACAAGAGTGAAACTCCGTCTCAAAAAAAAAGTTAAAAGGCATTTGAAACAGGTTGAGTATCCCTTATCTGAACTGAACTGCTTGGGACCCAGAAGTATTTAGAATTTTTTCATTTTTTTTTTTGTTCTGTTTTGAGACAGGGTCTCTCTCTGTTACTCAGGCTGGAGTGCAATAGTGCAATCTCAACTCACTGCAGTCTTGACTTCCTGGTTTGGGTGATCCTCCTGCCTCAAGCTCCCATGTAGCTGGGACCACAGTCATGTGCCATCACATTTAAAAAAAATTATTTGTAGAGACAGGGTCTCCCTGTGCCACCCAGGCTGGTCTCAAACTCCTGACCTCCAGCAATCCTCTTACCTTGGCCTCCCAAAGTGCTGAAATTACAGGTGCAAGCCACCATATCCAGCCTCATTTTAACCATTTTTAAGTATATAATTCAGTGGCATTAATTATGTTCACAATGTTGAATGTTGGCCATTCTTCATGTACGTTATTACGCAGAATTCAAAACAGATGTTTACAGAAAAATATGCATCTCAATGTTCATAGCAGCATTATTCATAATACCCAAAAACTGGAAACAATTCAAATACCCATCAACTGAAAAATGGCTAATCAAAATGCGGTATACCTATTCAGTGGAATATTATTTAACTCTAAAAAGAATAAAGTTTTGATACATGCTACAACATGGATGAACCTGGAAAACATTAAGTAAATAAAGCCAGTCACAAAAGGCACATATTATATGATTCCATTTATACAATAAAATGTCCAGAATAGCCAAAATCATGGAAACAGAAAGTAGATTAGTGATTGCCAGGAGCTGAGGGCAAAGGGGGAGAGACGGCGATTGTTAACTGAATATGGGGTTTCTTTTTGCGGTGACGAAAATGTCTTGAAATTGGTGTGACAACTGCACAATTCTATGCATAAACTAAAACCACTGAATTGTATACTATAAAAGGATGAATTTTCTGACATGCAAATTGTATCTCAATAAGGTATTTTTTTGAAAAATAATAAATAGCTTGTATCAGAAAAATTCTTTCAAAACATGGGATTTATGGAGGCAGAGTTAAAGGGGGTCTTTGGTAGTATTAACTACCACATAAAAGTGAAATTACTATTTTAAATTTAAAAAATTACTTCTTTCACCCATATCACAAATTATACTTTTACTCCATATGTTTATAAATCAAAAGCAATTACATCATAATGTACGGCCCCATAAATGAGTATGCTGTTAATTTTGACTTTCTGGTTGCAATTACTTATTGTATAGTTTCCATTCGGTATAAGGCAACCTACTATTTTTGTCCACCACAATTTCTGTACTTCATTCACTTTAGTAGAGATTTCTCCCAATAAAAAGAATAGGAGATACACTTCTTTCTAATAATAGAAGAAATCCATAAAGAAACACATTTTCAAAGAAAAGTGAAGATATTATATGGTATTTGTTGAAAAGCTAGTTACTGGGAATACTGGCACATTTATTTACCCATTAAAAATACCCATGTACGGGACTCCATGTTTGGATCCCCTTCCACGAACACTCTCTTGCTCGTGGAAGCTGTTTTTCTCTATCCTGGATTTTCCCTCTGGAGTCCCCTTCGAACACTCTTGTGGAAGCCTGTCTTCCCCTCTGAACTCCATCTCTCTCTATTCCCTTCCACTCAGCGTGGAAGCTGCTTTCCTCTCCTGGATTCCATCTTTCTGGATTCTCTCACTCAGTGTGAGAGTTAGCTGTTTATTTCTCTCTCCTTCTCTGGTTCCTCTCTCTCTCTCTCTCTAAATAAATCACTTTCTACAAAAAAAAAAAAAAATACACATTTACATTTTCTAATCAGTATTAGAAAATCAAATTTCATCAATCTCCTCAATTTTTTGGAATTTTAATATACTCCATGGCCAAGTAAATTTTATTTAAAAATTAAATTCTAACATAGTGTAAAACCTTAAACGAATTCACAGCCATCATTACAGATATAATTGCATGCTTTATCTAAAGGCTGGAGAAGATTGTGCTAAATTATATGGAACGAACTAGTGTTCACTATTTAGACTATCCATTAACTGCCAGTCAAACTAATAACAGCAATCTCTTCTCTAATCTTCATGGTGCAGCTGTTTACAGAATATCCTGGGTGTGTTCATTTCAATAGATACATAATAATGCAGACATCCACAAATGAAAGCTGTTATTTTTTATTTTCAAATTTTCCTGTGAACTGTAATATTTTTTCTACTTTGCATATTCAATCACTTTAACTGTTTTAAATAATCAGTAAATAAGTTTAGTTGCTAAACTGTGGTTATAAATTTAAAATCTATATTCTGAAGCTCAAATTCCAAGAAACCAAAAAAAAAAAAAAAAGCCCTCACAACAAAAATCCTTTGTTCTTTTAAAAGTACAAAATAAAAACAAATCTCCAGCAGAGATTGATCACATCTTTACTTGGGGTTCACCAAGGAATGCCTACGTGACATTTATACTTGCTTTTCTGTAATGGTCTTTTAAGAAAATATAATTTCATCGGCACTAACCAAATCTGAACACAGTCATGCATCGTTTAACTATGGGAATATACTTTAATAAGTTAGGTGATTTCATCACTGTGCAAACATCACAGAGCATATAGTACTTACACAAATCTAGATGGTATAGCCTAATATATACCTAGGCTATATGGTATAGCCTATTGCTTCTAGACTACAAACTTATACAGCATGTAATGGTACTGAATACTGTAGGCAACTATAACACAATGGTAAGTAATTGTGTATCTAAACATAGAAAAGGTACAGTAAAAATTGGGTATAAAAGATAAAAAATAGTACACTTGTACAGGGCATTTACCATGAATAGAATTTGCAGGACTGAAAGTTGCTCTGGATGAGTCACTGAGTAAATGTGAAGGCCTAGAACATTACTGTACACTACTGTAGGCTTTATCAACACTATACTTAGGATACACTAAGTTTATTTATTTATTTATTACATTGTATTGTATTTTTTTCTTTTGAGACGGAATCTCTCTGTCACCCAGGCTGGAGTGCAGTGGCACAATCTCAGCTCATTGTAACCTCTGCCCCCGGGGTTCAAGCGATTCTCGTGTCTCAGCCTCCCGAATAGCTGGGATTACAGGCATGTGCCACCATGTCCAGCTAAATTTTTGTATTCTTAATAGATACAGGGTTTTGACATGTTGACTAGACTGGGTCTTCAACTCCTGACCTCAGGTGATCTGCCTAGCACCTTGGCCTCCCAAAGTGCTAGGCTTAGAGGTGTGAGCCACTGTGCCTGGCTAAATTTATTTATTTATTTATTTGAGATAGAGTCTTATTCTGTCACTCAGGCTGGAGTGTACTGGTGCAATCTTGGCTCAAAGCAAACTCTGCCTCCCAGGTTCAAGCGATTCTCCTGCCTTAGCCTCCCGAGTAGCTAGGACTACAGGTGTGTACCACCACACCTGGCTAATTTTTGCATTTTTAGTAGAGATAGGGTTTCGCCATGTTGGCCAGGCTCATCTCAAACACCTGACCTCAGGTGATCCGCCCACTTCAGCCTCCCAAAGTGCTAGGACTACAGGCATGAGCCACTTTGCCTGGCCCTAAACTTAGTTTTAAAATTTTTGTCTCTTCAATAATAAATTAACCTTAACTCATTGTAACTTTTCACTTTATAAACTTTCAAATTTTTAAACTTAACTCTTTTATAATGTTTAGTTTAAAACATAAACACATTATACAACTGTAGAAAAACATTTTCTTTCTTTATACCCTTATTATTTATTTATTTATTTATTTTTTTGAGAGGGAGTCTCGCTGTCACCCAGGCAGTGTTGTGATTTCAGCTCACTGCAACCTCCACCTCCCTGGTTCAAGTGATTCCCCTTACCTCAGCCTCCCTAGTAGCTGGGATTACAGGCGCACGCCACCACACCCAGCTAATTTTTTTATATTTTGGGTAGAGATGGGGTTTCACCATGTTAGCCAGACTGGTCTTCAACTCCTGACCTCAGGCAATCTGCCCCCCTCGGCCTCCCAAGGTGCTGGGACTACAGGCATGAGCCACTGCACTCAGCCTATGTATTTACTCTATAACCATTTTTCTTTTCTTTTCTTTTGGGCTTTTAAATTTTTTTTGTTAAAAACTACGACACACATTAGCCTAGGCTACATAGGGTCGGTCAGGAACATCAAGGCTTCACTAGATGAAGATCCATTAGAATCTTATAGGACCACCATCATATATGTGCTCCATTGTTTACTGAAATGTCGTTACGTGGCACGACTGTATTTACCTTTACTAAGTACATGGCTCAGGCATCTCAATCCAAGATACACAAAAAACTATTTTTTGGTAATACTATAATTCCAACAACTCAGTTTTTTAGGTGCAAAACAATAATTTTAAAAGAGTTAAGCTTATTGACCTACATCAGTAGTTCCTAATAATTTGGATTTCAAAGAATGTAAAGACAAAAGATTGACAGCCCCAATCTGCCAAATGAGGAGTTATCCTACTTAAAAAAAAAAAAAAAAAAAAAAGACATTACCATTAGAAAGCTAGAAAGGCCGTAACGCTAAAATAAAAGGCGTCCTTTAAATTGGTAAGATTTAGCAATAGGAAAACCTCATGTCAGCTTCCTTATTTTTCTCATTTTGACACATACTTGTGAGAACACTGACACAAGCTGGCAATATTTCCATAATTTAAAAATATTGTTTGGGTCACCTTTGGCACCATAAAAATTCAATGAACCTTAAAAATCAGCAACTTACAATTCCTGCCTAAGCCTTCTTATCTTGGCTTTAGCATCTGCCAGTTCCACTGACAGATGTTGTCGACTTTCTGTTCGCTTCATGCCTGGAGAACCACAAGGTGATTGTGCAGATGAAGAGGCATGGGGTAGAAAATGAAGACCATCCCGCTCTTCAGAGAGTTCTATGATAGTCTAGAAATACACACAGAATCACTTTCAGTATTCTACATATTAGCAAAAAAGACACATCAACACTATCCACTAAGTCTAAGAATTGTACTACAATATTAAAAATAATTCATTGGTCAAAACAACTATCATATTTAGTTGTCATTCTTTATAAGTTTCATTCAACAGCTCATGCATGTGCTACTTAGTAAATAACACTAAACAAGGTAATAATTTTTTCCTTTCCTAGTTTTTTAATTTTATTGTTGTTATTGTTGTTTTAAGTTCCAGAGTACAAGTGCAGGATATACATGTTTGTTACATAGGTAAATGTGTGCCATGGTAGTTTCCTGCACCTAACAACCCATCACCTAGGTATTAAGCCCAGCATGCATTAGCTCTTTTCCTGGCCTCCCTTGACGAGCCCTGTGAGTGTTGTTTCCCTCCATGTGTCCATGTGTTCTTATTGTTCAGCTCCCACTTTTAAGAGAGAACATGCGGTGTTTGGTTTTCTGTTCCTGCATTAGTTTGCTGAGGATAATGGCTTCCAGCTTCATCCATGTCCCTGCAAAGGACATGATCTCATTCTTTTTTATGGCTGCATAGCACCCATGGTTTGTAAGTACAACACTTTCTTTATCCAGTCCATCACTGAGGGACATCTGGGTTTATTCCATGTCTTTGCTATTTTTGCTTTCCTAGTTTTTTAACAAAATAAATCAATTATGATCAGATAGCCAATGTTGGAAAGGCATAAAAGACCCGTTGACATAGAAAAGAAAGAAACTTAAGAGTGATGTGTCTGGAACTATGTTGTCCAATATAATAGCCAGTAGCGTAGGTGGCCATTTAATTAAAATTTTTTTAAGTTAAAAATTCAGTTCCAGTCCGGGTGCAGTGGCTCATGCCTATAGTCCCAGCACTTTGGGAGGCAGAGGCGGGCGGATCATTTGAGGTCAGGAGTTCAAGACAAGCCTGACCAACATCGTGAAATCCCATATCTACTAAAAATACAAAAAAATTAGCTGGGCATGGTGGCACACATCTGTAAGCTCAGCTACCTGGGAGGCTGAGGCAGGGGAATCACTTGAACCCAGAAGGTAAAGGTTACCATAAGTCAAGATTGCTCCACTGCACTCCAGCCTGGGTGACAGAGTGAGACTTCGTCTCAAAAAAAAAAAATAAATAAAATTCAGTTCCTTAGTTGTACTTGCCATATTTCAAGTGCACACAGCCATTACTGTATTACACAGCTCAGTAATACAATCTTGGACAGCCGAGAAATACAATCTTGCCATCACTGCAGAACTGGACAGCACTACTCTTGAATTATGAACAGGGGTCTTGGAGGGTCCTAACAACACCTCAAAAATTTAGCTCAATCTCTTTACTCTGCAGTAAGTAATTGAGGCACAGTGACTGATTTGTCCATAATCACACAACTAGCTAATAGCTCATGACTCCATGCTAGTCTGACTTCACATCTTATGCTCTCTCTCATACTAATTCCAGTCTGGTTCCCCTCTCAAAGGCCCTCCCCTCTCCTTTCTTTCTATTTTCTCCTTCCCTTTTCTCCCTTCCTTCCTTCTCTTTTTCTCTCTCGCTCTCTCTTCCAAGACTCTCCATGGGACACAAACCTCCTTTTCATTTTCCTAAATCTAAACTTTAAGGGCTATATGTACCTTCTCAATTCTGCTAATTTTCCTTTCATTGTATGTAAATTCTCTTACTCTAACCCAATTTCTCAGGTTTTTCTTTGAAACTTCTCAGGCAAATAAACTGCCTTATGTAGCAATTTCAGCTGTACTACGATTTTAGAAAGAATGGGTAGGGTTACTATCTTGGGATCATAAAATAGCATCCTTGATTTATTTCTTATCACCAAATTTTATCTGTATTTCCTGAATCATTACTTTTTTTCTTTTCTTTTTAACCATCTACCAGAATTGATTTATCTTCAGGATACATTTTAGCACCTGTATCAAGGTCGGTCTTATCTTCCTGCCTGTAACTATTGCTTTCCGATTCCAGTATGTCTGTTGATGAACCTCAGAAAATTACTTCCCATTTCTTTTTCTCTCTACTAATTCCATGTCCACTCCTTATATCAGTTCATACAGTTTTCTCCAGCAAAGGAGGCAATTCTTCCAATGTAGCATGCCTCCCTTTACTATCATTTTCCCGTGTCACCATACCTACTCCTGAACCTTTATTCACTCAATTCCTCCCCTGTTTCACTCAGTTCAAGAGATTATTCCTGACTACTCTAGAGTTCCTACTCAGCCTGGAATTACAATTAGGTCCTTAAATGTCATTCTTACTGTGCTCTTTACTGGCTCATTCTTTGCAAAAAAAGAAAAAGGAATGAACATTTATAGAACTTGTGAGGGATTACTATAATTTGCAATAGAGGTATTATGCCAGTTTTAGACATGAGAAAACTTAGGCTCATATAGATTAAGTAACTTAACCAAAGTCACACAACTAATGATAAGGATAGCAGAGATTCAAGTTCAAGTTTGACTCTAAAACTGTTATCTTCCTGACCTACCATCAGTTTTCTCTATTTTTGCTCCAAGATGATAAAGCTCTTACAGAAAAACAAGAAGTTACACAGTCCTAGTACAGATCTTGCCATCTATTTTCAATTCAACTCTTTCCACTGCCTATCTATCCTTTTATTGAAACCTTGCTGATTTTCCTTCAAATATTTTTATGATGACTATGTAAATGTATTACTTCTTCTCCACTTAAGCCTCCAACTGCAAACTGCTATCATTACTTTCACCTCTCCTCCAATTAGCCAAAGAAACAAAACCACCTGGGATTACCTCCTTTCTTCTTATGCATTTTTTTGCTCCTAATATGTATTCCTTACTTAAACATTTCAATTTTTCTTCTTATTGGCTTTTCTCTCTATGTTCTTCAAAGATATACAAGTTTCTTCTACCCAGGAAAAAAAAAAATTGCATTCCCTTCTTGGCACTTTTTGAAGGATGGTTCATATGTCTAATAACACTATTCTCTTCTATCCCTCAATCAGCTGGCTCATCCCAACTTCCCTGTGAATAGTGTTATTAATCTCCATAGTATCCCAGACTCCATGTACTCAGAGCCAACTTTTATTTGTATATTTTCTTACTGTCTCAGTTATCTTTGTTTTTGATTTTTTTGGTTTTTTTTTTTTTTTTTTTTTTTTTTTTTTTTTTTTTGAGACCAAGTCTCTCTCTGTCACCAGGCTGGAGTGCAGGGGTGCAATCTTAGCTCACTGCAACCTCTGCCTCACAGGTTCAAGCAATCCTCATGCCTCAGCCTCCCAAGTAGCTGGGATGACAGGTGCATGCCATCACACCCAGCTCATTTTTCTATTTTTAGTAGAGATGGGTTTCACCATGTTGGCCAGGTTGGTCTTGATTTCTTGACCTCGTGATCCAGCCACCTCGGCCTCCCAAAGCGCTGAGATTACAGGTATGAGCCACTGCGTCCGGCCACTGTCTCAGTTATTTTTAATCTTTCTTTCTAACATCTCCTAACTCTAACAAAGCTGACAGATAGTAAGTATTACTATTTTCTCATGCACAAATAAACAAGCACTTAATTATATGCTAGGTCATATTTTGCACTTACAAATAACGTAGTTTTCTCAATTAACCAGATACCATCTTTCTTACACCTCCTTTGTATCTCTCAATCTCTCATTTTATTTAGCATAGTATTTTACACAAAAATGGATGCTCAAAAATATTCAATCAAACAATTCACAAAATTAAGAACAGGAGAAAAGTACAGAAGACAGATACTACATTTGAAGTTAGTAGGTGGTGAAATGGAGGTATCTATCAAGAAGTCAATCAACTATGTATTACAAAACACTAAAAATAAAGAAAGAAACCTGGTACTTTAAAAGTTAAGAGTTCCCAGAGTATTTTCCATCAAAGATTCTTTAGATATTTTGACTGTTCTCTAATGTCAGTAACTTCTTGAGCTCAGGACTTCCCATACATTTTCAAAATAGTCTGACGCAAAAACAAACAAAATAATCTGACGGGAAATGTTTTTAAAGCATAGCTAATTTCGTAAGCTCTCCAATTCCTATAATATATATATATAAATATATATAGGAATATATACTATATGCTATAGGAATATATATATATATAAAATGATATATATCATTTTTTGTACTTACCATGTTCAAAATTTTATTACAGTTATTTTATTAAAATAACTTCCTTATTAGACTATAACAATCTTTGGTTCTTTTTTGAAATAGTTTGCCAGTTTTTTGCTCCCAAGCATAAGCCCTTGCAAAAAGCAGGTATGTCTTAATATATACTGAAGAATAAACCTAAAAAGATAAATCAGTGCTTTATCTAACCACAGGCACTGGAGTTAGATCTGGCAAGTTACTTAACTACTTGGGGCTCAAGTACCTTCATCTATAAAATGGGGTTTTCATGCAGATTTAATAAAACAGTATATGTTAAACTTACAGCACGAAGTCTGGCATAAAATTAACAGTGCTAATAAAGAGATCTTAAATTCATTAAATTCTCCTATTTGGTTTTCAGTAAAAGAAGAGGACTAAGGACATACTTGTTCTATAGCATTAAGAACACAAAAGTAAAAAGAAATGTTAAAAAAAAGTGACCAAATATATACTTTTTAGACTGAAGTGAAAGAATTATAACAAAAGCTAATCAAAACAAAAAAAGTTAAAGGAGAACTCTAAATATGAACTTGTTTCAATCTAATTGAATGACACATAATTCTAGTTACATACTACCTTTACATTTGTCTAATATTTTCTACAATTTTTTAAATGACCTTTTCAAATTAGTCTACTGGTAGCCCAAATTGAGAAAAAAAAAAATTCCCAGATAATTAGGTGTCTCTCCCCAACCCTATCCCAGCCATCAACTTTTTTCCCAAATATCTAAGACAGAAGAGTATGACCACTTTTTTTTTTCCTCATTTGAAAAAAAAATTTAACAAAAATTCTTAAACAGGCAGGATAATATATTTTAAAAGGGTTTTCAATCATTCTATATAGTATTTCATAATCCTTTTAGTTTGCCAGTCACATAATGGTAAGTATTGTCTTTTCTTTCTTTCTTTTTTTTTTAAATCACTCAGGAAAATGTTCTGTTGAAATGTATTCTGTCCACCCCATATTAATCAATTCACTTAAATGGGATCAAACTTTTTTTTTTCTTGAGACAGAGTCTTGCTCTGTTGCCCAGGCTGGAGTTCAGTGGCATGATCTTGGCTCACTGCAACCTCTGCCTCCCAGGCTCAAGCACTCAGCCTCCCAAGTAGCTGGTATTACAGGTATGTGCCACCACGCCCAGTTATTTTTTTATTTTCAGTAGAGATGATGTTTTGCCATGTTGGCCAGGCTGGTCTCGAACTTCTGGCCTCAAGTAATCCACCCACCTCAGCCTCCCAAAGTGCTGGGATTACAGGCGTAAGCCACCATGCCCAACCTGAGATCAAACATTTTATACCTGCCCATCAGTCATATAAAACTAAAGTATAGGCCAGGTGCAGTGGCTGACACCTGTAATCCCAGCACTTTGGAAGGCGAAGGTGGGAGGATCACCTGAGGTCAGGAGTTAGAGGCCAGCCTGGCCAACATGGTGAAACCCTGTCTCTACTGAAAATACAAAAATTAGCCAGGCATGGTGGCACATGTCTGTAATACCAACTATTCGGGAGGCTGAGGCAGAAGAATCACTTGAACCTGGGAGGCGGAGGTTGCAGTGAGCTGAGATGGTGCCACTGCACTGCAGCCTAGGCGATAGAGCTAGACTCTGTCTCAAAAAAAATTTTTTAAATAACAAAAAATAAAATAAAAAGGAAGTACAGATTTTTAGGAATAATTCCTCAGAAACTGGAGGATACCTTATTGCAGTACCTTTAACAACCTGAAATACAAATAAATAAATGTTCTAGAAAATGCATAAAGCAGTAAAAAGACACAAAAAAAGATAGCATATGGCTAAAAAATCTATTTGAAAGTGAAATGATCTAAGTATCTCAGGATAAATTTGATACATAGTAGAGATGTTTTCCAATTTATTCTTTCCTTCCTTTGGCCTCAATGTCCTAACTTTAAAAAAAAAATTAACTGTTGCTCTAATATATTTATTTCCTATATTTTGTTTTTGTTTAATGCCTAAAGAAAAATTGAAAATTCACATCAGAACTGAATATCCCCCAGAGAGACCAGAAAGTTTTATATTGAAAAAAAATACTTAGGAATTTTCTCTATGTAGTCTTTCATTGGTCTCAAGGGTACTCATACGAATTTTCTATAAATAAGCTCAAAACTGTATCTCACATGTAAATGAAACTAATAAAAGCTATACATTCAGCAGAATGGCAGAGTACTTTGCTCTTCTATTAAGAAAATATCACCCACCACTGCATGCACTAAAGTCTAGACTCTTTAAAATTATAAACTGCTTTCAGACAGTGCAGATAAAAAACTTGGTACACTTGTACTCTTTTTAAAAAGCAAAGTTCTGTTTTAACGGACTTATAATAATTCTCTTTTTAAAATCACACCTCATTTGAGATCTTTTGTGGGACATTTTATTCAGAACACCTGTTATTCTCCTTCTATTAAAACTTACTTTTCCAACCTCAACATGTGGCAATAAACTAAGAAATTCGCCTTAAGCAAATTCTTATGCTTCATGGCAATGATTTTTCCACTTACATCAACTATATTTTCAGTTTCAGACTTCTGTATTGTTGCCAAAGCTGTGGGGATGACTTGAAAAACAGGAAAAAAAATCAGAATAATACTAATTTAAAAGGAAAGGAGAAGAGAAACCTAACTGCAATTTATTTATTGGCAATTTGGTGTTCTTATACATCCTTTCAGGTTTCTGTAGTCTACACAAAAAAAGACAATCCTTTATTACCTGTCTCTAAGAAATAGTATTGATTCTGAAAACTTCCCAAAGGTACTATTTTCTTTTTTTGAAAAGCAAACTTTCACAATATACTGAAAGAAATTTACAAACCTCTGAATGTTCATCTCTCTCATCTATAAGTCTTTTCAGATGCAATGCCATATTTTTCAAAAGTGGTTCTATGTCCTCCTGCGACATATCAGTCACTTCCATCCATTGCAGGTCAAACACATTTTCCTGATTATGAGTTACCTTTAGAAAAGTAACCAAAATAAACAACCCAAAAAGTGGCTGACACTTAAAAATCTATTTGACTATAGTACAATATTAGCTAAAATATTATATATCCCATATAAAATATGAAAAGTCAATATGATGTTAAAAGGAAAACATCTGAAATTCATGATGAAAGCACTGTAACTAAAAATTATTTTTAATATAATCCTTAAATGAATTAATATTCATTTTCTAGTCAATAAAAATAAAATATTAATATTTAATTCAAGACATTCTTAAAGGAAAGTAATGTTGATACATTCTCACAACTTCTTTAACAAAATCAACTGAACTTTGTAGATAAGATTTTTAATTTATTTTACCTGAATTCAAGAGCAAAGCGTTTTTAATCTTGTAGGATATATGTTACTGCATTGTTGTAATTGAATATCTAAGTCTTTATAGATTCTGAAGATGACACTGTCACAGAAGCTTAGGAGAAAGGATTCCCAATATAAAGATTTTTAAAAGAATGGAAAAGTTATATAAGTGCCTTCCATTTCTCACCATAATTCTAATAATTTGCTCTAACTTTCATAACAAGCAGCAAAAAGAATTACACTTCCAAGGATGGTGGCAAATTCAGTAACTTTCACTACTTAGCATTTATTCAGAATAAAATAAAACCATATAACTAGCATAAAGCAAATATGTACTCTGTAATGGGAGACTACCAATAAAATTACATCTTGAAAAGTACTAATATGCTTATTGTTGACAACAATGTTACTGACAAGAAATCTAGGCTTTATGAATGCTAAATAAGAGAAAACATAACCTATGGAACACAAAAGTCTTCTAAATAAAGAATATTTTAAATACTACCAATTTTCACTATTTAAAAATTTTCTCTTTTCCCTTTCTAATCAACATATAAAATTTAACATACTCTAATTCTAAAGTGTCTTTATAAGATTAAATGCCTAAGAATAGACAGATGTAGAAATAGCTTTTAAAATGAATTTTAATAAATTTTATTAACTTCAATTATTTGACACTGCATAATATGCCCTAGACTTAAGTTTTTATATGAATGCTACAAATCATTAATGTGTTTATAGTTCAAGTAATATCTTTAATAAAAAGTATGCTGTCTATTCATTCAAAAGAAAATCACTAGAATGACAATACTAAGCTTGTCATCTTACCTCACTATTGTTTTGAATTACAAGCAGTGTTCAACTTTCTGCTATTTCCATTTACTGCTTTGTAATCCATTCTAACAAAGACATATACCTCATTCCTCAAATAACACTTTCTGCCTATGTCACTATACAATAAAGGCAATAGTATATTTGTAGTTAACATTGTGCCACATGTAAGGAACTATCTCTAAAGAGAAGACAACTTGTATAAAATCAGCATCCATCTATATTTGATCTTGATTTGTTCTTTAGGAGATACACAAATAAACATACCACAAGCTTCATAAATAGCACATAAAATTGTATATAGGTCATTACCTCTTGAATATGTGCGGCAACTGCTGCTTTTGTATCAAAATCTAAACCTTGAATTCTTTCAATAAATTCTTCTTTTTTCTGACACTAAAATAAATGAATAAAATAATTATTCATACTTTATAGGGTATAGTCCTTAAAATGTTATATATAACTAAACCTTTATGAGGTTTGCTATATTTTGAACAGTATAGTAAAGGTTCTGTTTTACATTTAAATTGCCTAACATACTTACCTAATAAATAACAATTTAGAAGTAATTATTTTAAAAAGCAAGGCACTGAAAATACATACTATTTTTATGCTGGAAAGTTCTAAAGTGGGAAACCATTACACAACTCATCTGAGGTTAGCACAATATTATTATGCTAACTTTACACACAGAGAAGTAAAGAATCAAGAACTTGTTTCAGTGAGGATAAGTTGCTTGCCAAAAAACACAGTGAGTCAGTGGCAGAATTCGGAAAACAGCCAAAATGCTCAGTCAGTCCTTGACTATAACCAAACAACACAGCCTTTCTTCTTGGAAAAAAAATTTAAGCAATTTTTACTTCAAGCTTACAATTCATTCTCACATCTTCATCCTATCAATCTTAATAAAAGAAACCCACTTTTGTGGCCCAGTTCAACATTTGTAAGGTAATCTAATAAATATTTGATTTGTTTCTAATATAGCAAAACTACCAAGGGCAAAATTTAAAAATATATATACAAGTACACATGTAACAAAAAGGAATAAAGGAGGTAATTCTTTATAGTGTAACTTTTAAAAAGCTTTATATAAATTACAAATATTAAAATGCAAAACAATCTTTTCCTTCCAGTCAGTATTAACAATTTAACATGTATCTTAATGTCTGCCTTCACCTACATCACTAATACTGCAAACCAGCTGCTAGTATCACTGTATTCTTATTGCTAACAAATGAGAAGTGCCTACAAAATAGACAGCACTGCCTTGTCTAAATTAGATGCATCTCCTGGGCCAATTACTGAACTACCAGGAAAGACAATATAGTCACAAAATTAAAAACTGGCTCTTTGATCATGAAACTTAAAAGGCTCCGATTTATACTTTACATATTTGTTTTACCAAATTGTAATGCTTTATTTTCTACTACTATACAATTTAAACATACTTCCATCAGCAGAAAGTTCTATATCTTGTAACACAGAATTGTTAGAATAATCAAATGGTTAAAACTAAATTGCCAGAAGTGTGTAATTCCTGGTTGTGATTAGGAAGTCTGAGTTTTGGGTGGATGGAATAAAAATTACTGGGTAACCACTAATTTTTGTCTAGCAAATAATACTTGACAGGCCTTGTGAGAACAATTAAGAATTACATTCTAATCATAAATTCATAGCATATATAAAATATTAACTTTTCAGGTATAGTAACATCAGTTTTAAAATTTAACACTACCAAAATCGTTGACCTATGCATAGTTTCTGAGCCTATCAGAACACACAACAGCATAATTATTATCAAAGGTAATGACTATGACTCACCAAAAGAGTCCCTTAATTCAACTAAATAGATACACTTCTCATTCTAAGCTCCGGAGCAACTGGTTGTTTACTTATACTATCTTTAGGAGCTCATCCTTTAGCACAATCTCAACACAAATGAGAATTTTTCCTTTATCCTTGTAACACACACAATTTCTACTAAATCTCACACCTTATTTAACTCTTAAAAGTTAAGCATTCTCAAATATTTTATAAACAGGTTGGGCTTCCTTAAAGAATACAGAATAAATTTTACAGGCTTTTGAAGGCTAGAAAAGAGAAAGACTGTCAAGATGGAAAAGAGACAGAATATAAGAGTCAAACTTTAAAGATGAATAATTAGATCAAATTTCTTTATCAGAGCTGCCCAATACAGTGATCATTAGCTATATGCAGCTATTGAGTACCTGAAATGTAGCGAGTGTAACTAAGAAACTGAAATTTTAATTTAATTGTAATTAATTTAAATTTAAATAGCCAGACTCGGTTAGTGGCTACTGGATTGAATAGCCCAGCCCTAGAGCATAAGAAAAGTCTGGTGTTAAAAACAGATATATAGCTTAATTCCAGCTGTGAAGACTAAATAATATCAGCAAATTGTTTTTTCCACTTAAAATTAAGCTCTCTTATCTTTATGTAAAGTTCTTAAACTAGCATGGGCACTAAAATTAATTTTTTTACTTTATTGTATTATAGTAACTGATTACTAAGCCAGTAGAGTACCATGATATTCTAAGAATATGATATGGAAACCGGTCACAGTGGCTCATGCCTGTAATCCCAGCATTTTGGGAGGCCGAAGCAGGTGGATCACCTGAGGTCAGGAGTTCAAGACCAGCTTGGTCAACATGGTAAAACCTCATCTCTACTAAAAATATAAAAAATTAGCCAGGGTTGGTGGCAAGCACCAGTAATCCCAGCTACTTGGGAGGCTGAGGCAGGAGAATTTGCTTGAATCCGGGAGGCAGAAGTTGTAGTGAGCCAAGATAATGCCACTACACTCTAGCCTGGGCAACAGAGCAAGACTCTGTCTCATTAAAAAAAAAAAAAGAATATGATATGGAAACTGGGACACAGGAAAAAAGCAAAGTGATTAGGGTAGGAGGTGGGTAGGAGGGAGAAATGCATTAGCCCTAAAGTTGTACATCTTGCACCAGAGAGCTTAAGCCCTTAACACATTATTCCTCAAATTCCTCATATTTTCAGTACCTGTTCTCTGATGTTAAAGAAAGAAGACCAGTTTACGTGGAAAAGCTATACTAAAATAGAGGAAATGGCACCCAAAACAAGCTAATGAACAAGACAATAAAACAAGGAACACATTATCGTGTTTTAAATAAGAAAACCAGTAATATAGGTCTAAACAAACTACAGTTCTACCAAAAAGCAATAAACAGGGATTCTAACAGACATTTGTATACTCATGTTCATAGCAACATTGTTTACAAGGGCCAAAAAATGGAGGCAACTCAAATGTTCATCGATGAATGGATGAACAAAATTTGGTATAAACAATGGAATATTATTCAGGCTTAATATGGAAGGAAATTCTGATACATGCTATAGCATGAATGAAACTTAAAGACATTATGCTAAGTCAAATAAGCCAATCAAAAGGACAAATACTGTGTGACTCTATTTATAGGAGGTTGCTAGAGCAATCAAATTCATAGAGACATAAAGTGGTAGCTACCAACGGGTGGTAACAAAAGGAGTCATTATTTAATGGATACAGAGCTTTAGTTTCGGAAGGTAAGAAAAGTTCTGGGGATGGATGGTGGTAATGCTTACACAACAATGTGAATGTACAGCAATCAGAATACCAGTGAACTATGTACTTTAAAAATTGTTAAAATGGTAAATTTCCTATCATGTATATTAAAACAATACTTCTATCAACAAAAGTCTCCCTCTTTGAGATATATTTGTATTTTTATATATACTCAGAAAAACAAATGTCTTGCTAGAAATTGTTTTTTTTTTGTTTTTTTTTTTTAAAGAGACTGGGTCTTGCTACAGTACCCAGGCTGGAGCACAGTGGTTATTCACAGGTATGATCATAGCATACAGCAGCAGCCTTGAACTCCTGGCCTCAAGTGATCTTCCCAAGTAGCTGAGACTAAAGGTGCATCACTGAACCCAGCAGAAATTGTTTTATTTCCTTAAAAAGTGATATGATAAAGTTATAAAATGCTAACTTTTAATATGCTTTACAGATCACTGATAAGTAAATTAATAGATTGTAGCTGTCAAACTAACCTAGTTCAAAACTGGTTTCAGAATCATATATTAATTAATGTTAGATGTCTTTTGAGGGTACATAAAAGGGTCAAATTTTTAATTTCAACCACACTTAACACCCAGTTACTTTCAGCACTACCCAACCTGGCAAAAGTCCAAAATAAGTAATATTTCTGGATACTAAGTAGCCTGCACTGATAGGTTTTATATAGGTTTTAAGTTCTGCTAAAAAGGGGTGAATTTCACATTGCCTTAGAACAAAAGAAATTTCCAAACAAAACACTGCAACGATTTTACTTCTGCATAGGATGGTTTCACCTAGGACTCTCTCAACTACTTCAGGGCTAGGATGAAGAGTCACAGATCTGCTGAAATTCTAGGTGATGCTCAGAACTGGTTCAGAAGGCTTGTGTTATCCATTGAAAAAGATTCTGGAGAAACTTGACTGAGTTGGCCAGCCAATAACAAAAATACCCAAGCCTATCCTTGGACAGTTTTCTTCATATTTAAAGTTATTTCTGTGGCTTTTATCTATGTATAATCAAGGATTAAAAGTCATAATTATAATTTATTCTGTGAGGTAAGATCTTTGGATACTGGTTAACGTTACTGTTTTTGAATGCTGCTTCCTCTCAAGAATTTATTTTTTTCTTCAAAAGAAGAACACATTTTTCAATTTCCCAATGCTTGTTTCTCTTTCTCCTCTTCCCCTACCCCCGCCTTTTTTTCTTTGATAGACAGGGTCTCCTTACACCGCCCAGGTTGGTCTTAAACTCCTGGGCTCAAGTGATCTTCCTGCCTGACCTCTCATAGTGCTGGAATTACAGACATGATCCACTGCACCCAGCCCCTATTTCTTTTCATGAATATAGTATCTCTTGAAATCTGTGGCCCGCTGATTTCCTAAACTCTAGAATCATGTCAGCAACTTTATCTTGCTAATTCTACCTACAAATAACAATTATAACAGATAAAATTGATTGATGTAGATGTGGGGAAACATGCTATTTACATATTATACTAATTGTTAGAATTTTAATCTCTTCACTACAAGACGAACACATGTTCTGTAATAGAGAGGACATTTTACGAAGTATTCCAACAATACTTGTTGGCTGATTGGCTTCCTCAATAGTTTCTTGTCCTGAAGCACATTCTGGCTATTAACCATCAACAAAGATTTCTAATTGTTTATATGGTCACAGCTGAAGGCTGACAGTTGTTTTTTTTTTTTTTTTTTGAGATGGCGTCTTGCTCTGTCACCCAGGCTGGAGTGCAAGGGCACGATTTCGGCTCACTGCAACCTCCGCCTCCCGGGTTCAAGTGATTCTCGAGCCTCAGCCTCCCGAGTAGCAGGGATTACAGGCATGCGCCACCACACCTGGCTAATTTTTATGATATTAGTAGAGACAGAGTTTCGCCATGTTAGCCAGGCTGATCTGGAACTCCTGACCTCAGGTAATCCACCCGCTTCAGCCTCCCAAGTGCTGGGTTTACAGGCATGAGCCACTGCATCCAGCCTGAAATCTGAACTCTATCTTAAAGTGGCAAATCCAGTCTTTCATAACTCAATTCATATAAACTCACTAGTCTAATCTCCTGCCATTCTTCTCCATGAATGCTACTTTTCAACCACACTTTTTTTTTTTTTTTTGAGAATAAGTCTTGCTGTCCCCCAGGCTGAGGTGCAGTGGAGCCATCTTGGCTCACTGCAACCTCCATCTCCCAGGTTCAAGCGATTCTCCTGCCTCAGCCTCCTGTGTGGCTGAGACTACAAGCATAAGCCACTATGCCAGGCTAATTTTTTTGTATTTTTCTTTTAGTAGAGACAACGTTTCATCATGTGGCCAGGCTAGTCTTGAATTCCTGATCTCAAGTGATCCACCTGCCACTGCTCCCGGCCTAACCACACTTTATGTTCCCTGAATCGGCTGTTTTTTCAACATCTTTGCTCTTATTTCAAATATTACCTTGTCAGAGGCCTTTCTTAATACTACGAGCAAACTTAAGAAAACATTTTTATACACCAATGCATATTACATTATGGTAATTATCACCTTAAACTGTTTACTCTCTTTCCTCTAAAATTTAAACTCCTTGAGATTTACCTCTTTTTTCTAAAATCCCTGTCCCTATCCTTTACTATAGCACCTGATATATAGGAAGCATTAAAAAAAAACTAGGTCACTAACATTTTAAAAGTACCGAATGGTACCAACATTTTTCAAAATTTGATATTTCCTCCTTTATTGGTAGATCTGTCGTTCTAGCACCACAATAGATGCAAGTCTTAAGGGCTCTCAAATAAAAGTATAATTCTGCTATGACTACATGGACATACAATATGTATAAAGAAGGTCTCCAAGTTTCTTGACAAGCTCATATCACATCAAAGACTAAGGTCTGACAACCTTTCTATCTCCTCATTTCTACAAAAACCTTGAATGATGTTGACATAGGTTAGAATGACAGTCTCCTTGAGTCTTCGGTCTACAGTTGATAAAACTTATTCTCTCTAAATATGAAAAAATTAGGCTGGGCATGATGGCTCATGCCTGTAATCCCAACACTTTGGGAGGCCAAGGTGGGTGGATCACCTGAGGTCAGGAGTTCGAGACCAGCCTGGCCAACATGGTGAAACCCTGTCTCTACTAAAAATAAAAAATTAACCAGGTGTGGTTACACGTGCCTGTAATCCCAGCTGCTTGGGAGGCTGAGGCAGAAGAATAACTTGAACCCAGAAGGCAGAGGTTACAGTGAGCCAAGATCACACCACTGCACTCCAGCCTGGGCATAAAGAACAAAATTCCATCTCAAAAAAAAAAAATTTAGTCTTTCTTTATTCTCAGATAAATTTAACCTATGGGGCCAGGTAGGGGTGGCTCATGCCTATAACCTCAGTACTTTGGGAGGCCAAGGCAGAAAGATCACTTAGGTCAAGAGTTTGAGACCAGCCTGGGTAACACAGTGAGACTCCATTTCTTAAAAACAACAACAACAACAACAACAACAACAACACAGCCAGGCATGGTGGCACATGCCTGTAGTTCCAGCTACTTGGGAGACTGAAATGGGGAGATCACTTGAATCCTGGAGGTTGAGGTTGCAGTGAGAGTCGTGATCACACCACTGCACTCCTGCCTAAGTGACAAAGAAAGACTGTCTCAAAAAAAGGTCCTTGGTTCTGCTCCATTCCTACTGTCAATTTGGGTAACCCAGCAATAACTACCAAGCAATAACCAGCAATAAAAAACAAATTTATGCTGTTGCTATCTAAATTTATGCAACATTCACCAACACAGGACATTTTTTAAAGCAAATGTAGTACATAAAGGCTGTAAATAAGAGCTGTGTTTCTAACTCAGGATCTGATAACCTAATTAGAAGACTACAAACACCATATTCAACTTAATATTTATTCAATTGTTAAGTAAACACTTGTACATTACACAGCATGAAATTTTAATAACATATATTATATAAGATTATAGCTCCTAAGCAGTCAGCTCTAAAAGCCAATATTCTCTGGGATATATAATTTCTGTTATATGTATGTAAAAAAATTACTAGTAATCATATTATTTATTTGTTTATAACATCATTCTACAAAGAAGTGAGACAGTTTAAAATAACACTGTAATAATTTATCCAAAAATGGCTGAAATGAAAAATCAACACAGTATAATAGATTCTGAAGTCCGACCAGAGTTGAATCTCAGTTCTTTGGCCTACTAGCAATATGACCTAAATTTAAACTTAGAACGGTCATCCTGGTTTGCCTGAGACAGTCCCAGTTTACACATGCCATTCCACCATAATTATTACATGTACTTAAAACAGAAATGGGATTTCATTGTGTTGCCCAAACTGGTCTCAAACTCCTGGCCTCAAGTGATCCTCGCATCTTAACCACTCAAAGTGCTGGGATAACAGGCATAAGCCACCATGCTCAGCCCACTATAATTATTAACAGTACCTTCTTTGACTTTCACAAGTGTCCTAATTTGGATAATAACTTAAATACTACCCTACCCAAACTCCTTACCTGAAAAAAGATATTATGAGAAAATCTACGTAAGGCATAATATCTGACACAAAGAAAGCATTCAACAATCATAGCTATCATTATAATTATTGATCAAAGAGCAATATAATAATAACCAAGACTCCTAAAACCCTTTTCACAAATTGTGCCTCCTTTTTTACTTTTCCTTTTAAATAAATTCTGCCTCCTCCCTTCCTTTCTTTTCTTCCCTCCCTTCTCCTAAAACACACACAAGTACAACATAAATCATAAGAATGTTTTGGGAGAGGTTTCTAACGGCACCTCTGGAAAAAAACTCAAAAACTTAGGGTCATGATAAGCCTCAGAATAAGGAAAAGAGTAATTAAATATTTTAAATGATATGACTATGATAATATAACTAAATTCTGAAATAAAGTAAGTGCTTTTCTTCAATATAATTTTGTTAGGAGGTTATATAGTTATTGAAAATTTCCTAACAAGGACTTTGAAAACCAATGGTCCATCCGTAAGTGTTTCAGAAGCTAGAGCCTAATAAAAATATATAAAGAGGTTGTTAAAGGGAAAATATGAAAAAGTATTTTAACTTACCTGAACTGCACAACCCAATAAAAGTAAAAGCAGTTTTTTAACTTCTTCTGTGCCTTGTTCTAAAATAGAAACAATTTATTAAAGACAACATTTTGCTGTATTTTCAGCTCTCTTATATTTGGAGAATCATTTCTAGAGGTATTTATGCATAGTAACTTGACTGAAGGATTCAGTCTAAGCACATATAGTGGAAAATTCAAAACACCAGCTCTATGCATGTACAAGGTGGTAACAGCAGAAGAAATGGGCAAGGATATCGTATCAATTTTGAAGGGCTAGTGGATAAAGAGGTTTCAAGGCTCTGTGCAATAAGTATGCTAACTATGAATCTACTCCTTTTCCATAAATGATTGTACTATACCAGACTAACAAATCAAGAACCTATCAAATCAGGTTGATATAGGGACATGCCACAAAAGCAGCCAAAATGGCTCCTAATAGGTCTGGCTCCTTTTAGGCCTATTAGCGTTTTCTTACTTAAAACACAGATCTTATGATTCATCTTCCTATCAAATTTAAATCATTTTCCACTGTGCATGTTCATGAAGATCAGAATCTTAAATGTCTATTACAGTGAGGCTGTTCAAATAAATGTATATAACAAGCCAGGTAAAAGCTAACACTCTATAACATAAATGGAGAGAATATTCCCTATCCAAAAGCATTCAATTAAGATTTTCTTAAAATATTCAGCTGGAAAAAAAAATCACTTCTTTGGGCCAGGTTTTTACTACTAGGCAAATCTGTCTATGAAAAAGTCCCAATCTTCTTATCAGACATTTCCTTCTACTCTTGATGAAACAACCCACTTTCTAGCTACACTGAGCCACATTAATCACCATTCCTCTCAAGTATGCATACATACACACTCCTCTGCCTTAACTAACACTGCTCCCTCTGCCTGTCCTCCTTCCCCAACCTCCTCATCCCCCTAGTGAACTGCTTGCTAATCACAATCCTAGGCACAGTTCTTATCATCTCTGTGTAGTCCTCCCTGACCCAATCATCAATGGTCCCCAACCCTCACTTATATGCCAACTTTAAGAATAATTAATGGCTCCATATTTTATATGCCAGAACATCTGGAACATATTTTTACTTCATGCTAACTTTTACATAATTTCTGCATAATCTGTGTATCCCTCACCAAACCAGAAGAGCCTTCAGAACATAGACTATTTCCACTCCTGGTCCCTGTAACTTGGTAGGTACTTACCAAATGCATGTAGGATGGAAAACAACTCCATCCTATATGAGGTTTTTTTTTTTTTTTCATTTTTAAATTTATATAATCAAATCCCAGAGTATCTCTAAAAACTATCTAAGCTCTTAATTCACCCCATCTAATTAATAGTTTCCTCTATAAAAATAGCTACTGGATTTAAGTTTTTATTTGGTTTTGTTTTGACTGAGAGGGGGTATGAGCTGAAGAAAACACACTTAATTTGGATAACCTGTAAAGATAAGTCCACTGATGAAACTGTTAGGTAGCTGTTAATTTCCCCAACTGTTCAAAAATTACAATTCTAAAATATTACACTTAAAATCTGGTAAAGGGCAGAATATTTTGAAGAAAAAATTTAAATGATCTAAGAAACTGCCTCGGCTGGGTGTGGTGGCTCAGACCTGTAATCCTAGCACTTTGGGAGGCCAAGGCAGGCAGATCACGAGGTCAGGAGATCGAGACCATCCTGGCCAACATGGTGAAACCCTGTCACTATTAAAAATACAAAAATTAGGCAGGTGTGGTGGCACGTGGCTGTAGTCGTGGCTACTCAGGAGGCTGAGGCAGGAGAATTGCTGGAATCCGGGAGAGGAAGACTGCAGTGAGTGGAGATCATGCCACTGCATTCCAGCCTGGGCAACAGAGCGAGACTCTTGTCTCAAAAAAAAAAAAAAAAAAAAAAAAAGAAAAGAAAGAAAGAAAAATAAAAAAGAAGGAAATTGCCTCTTTTCTTTCCATTCAGAAGAAGTTTAATATAAACTAAAACACATCAGACCAGGTGTGGTGGCTCATGCCTGTAATCCCAGCACTTTGGGAGACCGAGGCAGGAACATCACTTCAGGTCAGGAGTTCAAGACCAGTCTGGCCAACATGGTAAAAACCTGTCTCTACTAAAAATACAGAAATTAGCTGGGCGTGGTGGCCATGCCTGCAGTTCCGGCTACTCGGGAGGCTGAGGCAGGAGAATCACTGGAACCTAGGAGGCGGAGATTGCAGTGAGCCGAGATCCTACCATTGCACTCTAGCCTGGGCAACAAGAGCAAAACTGCATCTCCAAAATAAATAAGTAAATAAATAAGTAAATTATATCAATCAGAAAAACTTAAGATTCAACAATTTTGGCAATGTTAGATACTATATGAATAGAAATCCGGAAATTATTTCAAAATCATTTCTTTTCTAAGGTAATATTCCTTTAAGTTTATAACTATATCATCTTCTATACTTCTCTATAATGAGACACTAAAAATCATCACAGAAAAGTATCTGTTTGGTATAGTAGAAAAAACACTGAATTTAATGTAAAATTTATCTCTGGGCTTACCTACAACTTAAAAACATCCTAAGCTTGTCTCTTTCTATAAAATGGAACATGACCTCCAACTTCTACAGTTGTAAAAAAAAATCTAGTGAGTTAATGTAAACAAGCAAGCTTTTAGTAAAAAATAAACACCACAGTATTACACCAAGATTAGACATTACTATCACATTACGTTAATTTTAATACTTACCAGAAAAGGGATTTTTGCCAATGATTAAGACATTTGGCAACGACATCATGATTAATTGCTGCAAAGTCTCCTGTGAAAAGATATCCAATACTTGTTATATGGATAATGCTAACTAGGCAATTATTCATCAAGCTGTAACTTATGATTTGTACATTCTTCTGTAGGTGTGCTATACTGCAATTAAAACAAACATATATGAAAAAAGTTATATATGGTCTTAAATTATAATACCAGATAGGCTTAAGTTAATAATACATCAGGCTGGGTACAGTGGCTCACACCTGTAATCCTAACACTTTGGAAGGCCAGGGTAGGAGGATCACTTGAGACCAGGCTGGGCAACATAGTGAGACCTTCGTCTCTACACACACACAAACAATAATAAAGTTTTTAAAATATCAGATATCTCCAAATTAAAGCATCCAAGTCAAAATGGTCTAATATTTATTATTTGGAAATCTGAAGTTTTAGGTGCTAGAAATATAAGAAACATCCTCAATAAAAATCAAGCAAAATTAAGAAACATTCCTCAATAAAAGTTGGAGCATGTGTGCTTTTTGTTCCTGTTAGTTCTTGCTGAGGAAACTAAAAATATATCATACAAATTTATGAGTACTGTCACTGTACACATATGTATATATACACACATATATACATATACATATATATATATATACACACACATATACATATATATATATGTTTTTTTAAAATTTTCTTGAGATGGAGTCTCACTCTGTCACCCAGGCTGGAGTGAAATGGTGTGATCTCAACTCACTGCAACCTCCGCCTCCCAGATTCAAGCCATTCTCCTGCCTCAGCCTCCTGAGTAACTGTGACCACAGGTGTCCACCACCATGCCTGGCTAAATTTTGTATTTTTAGTAGATACAGGGTTTCACCATGTTGCCCAGGCTGGTCTTGAACTCCTGACCTCAAGTGATCCACCCACCTCGACCTCCCAAAGTGTTGGAATTACAGGCATGAGCCACTGCACCTGGCCATATTTTTAATATAATGAGAGAGCTATATTTTTAAAATGTCAATTGATATTAAAATTTAAAAACCTAACTGCTTTATTAAAAATGCTATTTAATGATCATTTCATGAAAGCCAGTTCCTCCTCAGTGAACCATTATTTCTCTCTTCTATAATAGATGTTTAACTTCAGTAAAAGTTTAGTGGTAAGAAGGTATGTAGATTCTGAAGGTATAAGGTGATTCAGAAAGAACTGAATGCTTTCAAATTCTTCAATTTAGGTAATACATAAAGTATGCACCTTCTGTTTATACCACCTCTTCCCTGAAGAAATGAAGAAATACATTGTGTCTGTCATTACAACCACTGACACTGATGATACGCAAAGGGTCTGGGATGAATTAGACTACAGGATAGATAGATGCCATGTGATAATTACTGAATCTTTGCAATATTAAGGAATAACTATGACAGATTCTTTATAAACTGACATGTTCAGATACAACTAGTTACTGAGGAATGTTTTTGAAAGTATTCAACTCTTTTTGAATCCTTTATTTAACTTGGTACTATGATAATAAAGCAAATAACCTTGAAAAATAACTGAAAAATTAACTCGTACTGCTTTTTTAAAATTTCTAATTCTAGATCCACTAAGAGCACTTACCGATGGTCAGAGGGTGGCATGACACCAGATGCTAATTAGAATTCACCTCTTATCTATAATTCTTTATGGATACATCCAAGAAAGTTTCAAAAATTTCCTTGGCGTATTAGCTCTTTAAAAAACTATTGCCAAAATATGACTGCATTTAAAGAAAAGTACTTACTTGATATATGCGTCATGTTAGAATAACAAATATCAAAAATTGCTAAAATCACTTACTCCATGAATGATATGGAGTTTGGATATTTAATGAATTAGTGTTCTAGTTAAAATCAAGTTATCTTAAGAAAGAATATGCTATAGCTATGTGTGTAACAGCTAAATGGACTTAAAGGAACAGATTTCCACTTCAGTTTTTTTTTTTTTTTTTTTTTTTTTTTTTTTTTTTTTGAGACAGAGTCTTGCTTTGTCACCCAGGCTGAAGTGCAGTGGCTCGATATCAGCTCACCGTAACCTCTGCCTCCCAGGTGCAAGTAATTCTCTGCCTTAGCCTCCCAAGTAGCTGGGATTACAGGCGCCTACCACCATGCCCAGCTAAATTTTTTTGGTATTTTTAGTAGAGACAGGGTTTCACCAACTTAGCCAGGTGAGTCTTGAATTCTTAACCTTGTGATCCACCCACCTCGGCCTCCCAAAATGCTGGGATTACAACAAGGCTGAGCCACTGTGCCTGGCCACTTCATTTGAATTTTTAGATTCCTTGCCTTGAAGCAAAATTATAAGGACTGTCACTGCAGTTGTTTTTTGTTTGTTTGTTTTTTTGTTTTTGAGACAGGTTCTTATTCTAGTCACCAGGCGGAAGTGCAGTGGTTCCAACACAGCTCATTGCAGCCTCAACCTCCCAGGCTCAAGCGATCCACCTGCCTCATTTGTTTTTATTATTTTTTTTGTAGAGACAAGGTCTCACTATGTTGCCAAAGCCAGTCTTGAACTCCTGGACTCAAACGATCTCCTGCCTCTGCCTCCCAAAGTGCTGGGATTACAGGCATAGGCCACCTTGCCCAGCCAGATATATTTTTTTTCTTTTTTGCTATGGATCAAGTGATTATTTGAAAAGATCTGAACTGCCACTTAACCATAATGAAGTATATGTTTGGTAAACTTTCTGATAATCTAATGTTATCACTTATCTCTCTCATGACCTCTCATATTACTACTTCATTGGTCTTACATTACTTATCACAACAGAAATTATTTAGTTTTTTACTTGCCTATTATTCCTCTACTAGTACCATAGTTCCATGAAAATAGGGACATGGTATGTCCTATGCACCAAAGCAGCCCCAGTACCAGGTAGAATGTTTGGCATTCAAGAAATGGAGAGGGAAAATGTGAACATTAGAATTTGTACTGAGCTTTTACAGATTCTAAATCATAAAAATGAAAAAAAAAAAAGCGCACTGACCTTTAAATTTACCTATCATTACTGAAAAGATAAAATGAAATAATCGTCCCCCAACAATCATTTGAGGGTATTCTGTCAATTTGCTTTTCTCCCTGAGAATCGTCTTTACAAGATGACCTTGATGCCTACCAACCTATAAAAAAATTTTTTTTCAAAGATACACTTTTGAATTTTAACTTACCCAAATTCACCTTCCCCTTTATGAGTCAGAACAATCAAAATGTACTAAAATGGTCAGGCACAGTGGCTCACATCTATAATCCCAGCATTTTCGGAGGCTGAGGTGGGAGGATCATCTACGTTGAGGAGTTCAAGAGCAGCCTGGCCAACATGGCAAAACCCCATCTCTACTAAAAATACAAAAAAATTAGCCAGGCATGGTGGCAGGTGCCAGTAATCCCAGATAGTCAGAAGCCAGAGGCAGAAGAATCGCTTGAACCCGGGAGGCAGAGGCTGCAGGGAGTAAAGATAGCGCTACTGCACTCCAGCCTGGGTGACAGAGCGAGGCTTTGTCTTAAAAAAAGAAAAAAAAAAAAAGGTACTAAAATATTTAACCTTAAATACATCTTCTCAGGGGCATATGACATACAAAAAAATTTAACAGTTCTATACAGCCTTTCCCCCAAAATCTAAATTTTCTAAGAGAAAATAATATAAGCGCTGATGAGAACTCCATTGATTTGGACGTATTAACTTGCAATGTGTCATATATTAAACCAGACCCTCTCTAATATAAAGAGAATAAAAAATTATTTCAGTAAGCCAATTAACTATATATATAAAATGTCTGACCCATTTCTGAAGACAATTTAAAATAGTGGTTGGTGTGAACATAATTGTGTTCAAGAGTGCAGTGAGCTATGAGCTATGACTGTGTTACTGCACTCCAACATGAGCAACAATACCGGACCCCATCTCAAAAAATAAATAAATACAGCATAGTGACACACACATGTAGTCCCAGCTACTTGAGAGCCTGAGGTGGGATGACCGCCTGAGCCCAGGAGATCTTGGGCTACAACGAGCTGTGACTGCACCACTGCATCTTAGCCTAGGCAACAAAGTGAGACCTTGTTTCAATCAATCAATAAAAAATGTAAACAAATAAATACATAATTTATAAACGCATAAAGAAAAACAAAATCTAGGTGGAGGCAGATGTTGCAGTGAGCCGAGACTGCACCACTGCACTCCAGCCTGGATGACAAAGTGAGACTCTGTCTCAAAAAAGAAAAAAAAATCCAGAAGTATATATATTTGGGTGATAACAGTGGTAATTTCTTGGCATTGAAACTGTATTATCGTTTTTCTAATTTTCTACACTCAACAATATTGCTTCTATATAAACTTGCTTAAATATATATATATATATATATATATATACATATTTCACATAAACTTGCTTAAATATATACATATTTTTAGACAGAGTCTCGCTCTGTCGCTCAGGCTGAAGTGTAGTTGCATGATCTCTGCTCACTACCTTCTAACTCCCAGGTTCAAGCAATTCTTGTGCCTCAGCCTCCCAAGTTGCTGGGGCTACAGACATGCACTACCATATCCAGCTCATTTTATTTTTGTATTTTTAGTAGAGGCAGGGTTTCACCATGTTGGTCAGGCTGGTTTGGAACTCCAGACCTCAAGTAATCCACCCATCCTGGCCTCCCAAAGTGCTGGAATTACAGGCAAGAGCCACTGCATCCGGCCAAACTTGCTTAAAATAAAGGTGGTTCAGGGTTGGTTGCACAAAAGGAGAGGAATCCATGACTTGAACACAAAGAATTCCCACAAAGTCCCGCCCCAAAATATGAGCTCACAATTAAAACACACACATCACTGCCACCCCTGCCACGGCCACCACTACTATCACCACAACAAGAAACAGAAAGCAGAAAACAAAGAACAGATTCAGATCTGCACATATTTCAGATTTTTGAATTATCAGATATGAAATCTAAAATAGAGAAAATTTAAATATCTGAAGAAATAAAGGAAAGAGTTAAGAAAATGATTAATGGACAAAATGAAAAGGCAATGTAAAAAGAACCAAATAAAACTTCCAGAAATGAAAGATATCATCAACGTGTTAAACAGAAGATTTGACACAAATAAGGAGCAAATTAGTAAATTAGAGAGTTCTGAAAACAACACTTGGAATGCAGCACAAGCTTAATAAATAAAAGTTTAATAAGCAAGAAAAAGAATAACAAAGTCTAATATGTATCAATAGAAATATGTGAACTATATAGGATTGGTAGAATAGAAAAGAGAAAATATTAGAAGAGTAAATACTAAAAGCAGCTTGCAGAGAAAAAAAACAGCTTAGCTGGGCATGGTGGCACATGCCTGCAATCCCAGGTTCAAGACCAGCCTAGGCAACATGGTGAGACTCTGTCACTATTTTATTTATTCAATTTTTTAAAATTTATATCTGCATACCTTGGCCTCCCAAAGTACTGGGATTACAGGCGTGAGCCACTGCGCCCAGCCTTCTATCTCTATTTTAAAAATAAACAAACAAAAAACTATCTTTCAAAAACGAGTGAAATAAAGGCATTTTCAGACAAATATTCTCAAAGAAAAACATGCAGCTTGATCTAAAGAAACAGGGCTGGGCACAGTGGCTCACACTTGTAATCCTAGCAGTTTGGGAGACTGAAGCGAGTGGATCATACCAGATTAGGAGTTCGAGACCAGCCTGGCCAACATGGTGAAACCCAGCCTCTACTAAAAATACAAAAAAATTGGCCAAGTGTGGTAGTGGGCACCTGTAATCCCAGCTACTTAGGAGGCTGAGACAGGATAATTGGTGGAACCCAGGAGACGGAAGTTACAGTGAGCTGAGATCGTGCCACTGCCTCCAGCCTGGCCAACACAGCGAGACTCCATCTCAAAAAAATAATAATAAAGAAACTGTTTTTTATTTAACAGTACTTCTCAATATTTAATGTGTAAAGAAAAAGCCCTAAAATACAAGACAAGAAGATCTTAAAAGTCATAAAAGAGAATGACCAGAATTAAAACATTATAAAGTCATAGCACTATTCCACAAAAGGGTAAAGATATTAATTTTGGCCTTTCCTATGTTTCGGTATAAAATGTATAATTTCAAAAGTCACCTCTGTAAAAATAGGAAGAGTAAAAAAATTTTAAGCCAGTAGAAAGGAAAAACATGTAGAAATAATTATTGATAGACCGGGCACAGTGGCTCATGCCTATAATCCCAGCACTATGGGAGGCTAAGGGAGGTGGATCACCTGAGGTCAGGAATTTGAGACCAGCCTGGGCAACATGGTGAAACCCCATCTCTACTGAAAACATAAAAATTAGCTGGACGTGGTGGTGCTTGCATATAGTCCCAGCTACTCAGGAGTCTGAGGCAGGAAAATCACTTGGACTCAGGAGGTGAAGGTTGCAGTGAGATGAGATCACACTATTGCAATCCAGCCTGGGTGACAGAATGAGGCTCCCATCTCAAAAAAAGAAAAAAAATAGGAAAAGAAACAATTGCTGATAAATAATCAAATTCTTCAGGAAGATTTAACAATTTTTTTGAGGGGAGGGGTGGGACGGAGTCCTGCGCTGTCACCAGTCTGGAGTACAGAAGTGCAATCTTAGCTCACTGCAATCTCTTCCTCCCAGGTTCAAGCGATTCACCTGCGTCAGCCTCCTGAGTAGCTGGGGCTATAGGTGTGTGCTATCACGCCCAGCTAATTTTTGTATTTTTAGTAGAGACGGGGTTTCACCATGTTGGCCAGGATGGTCTCGATCTCTTGACCTTGTGATATGCTTGCCTTGGCCTCCCAAAGTGCTGGGATTACAGGCAATTTTAAATTCATTTGCACCTAGTAACAGTTTCAAAGTCTATAAAATAAAATTTGATAAATTCATCATTATATGGCACAGTTCAAATCCTCTTTCTCAGTAACTAATGGCTCAAAAGACAAATCAATAAGGCTATAAAAGATTTGAACAATACAATTAACAAACAAGGTTGCTATAACTCTGCACCCAAACAATTAGAGAATACGTATCTTTTTCAAGCACACACAGAACTTTAAAGAAAACTGACAACAACATACTAGACCAAGCTAAGTAATTCTTATCAAATATCAAAGAATCAGTATAATACAAACCACATTCTTTGACCAAAAGAAAACCACCAAAAGGTTACCTGAAAAATACCATGCTCAAAAATTTAAAAGTATACTTCTAAGTAACTTATAAGTGAAATAAATCATAGCAGAAATAAGAAAATGTGCAGAAATAATCATCTTTTAAAACACATCATACCAAAATTTATGCAATACAGATATAGCAATTCTTAGAGGTATACTGAAAGCCTCAACAATGTTCATATTTAAAAACTAAAATATGCATCCAATTTAGATATTTTCCAAAAAATGGAAATACACTTTTCAAAGGCACAATTCAAGAAAGCTAACAACAAAATATTACACTATGCAGGTTCTCAGGAAACTGGGAACTGACTTTTAAAACAGATAAAATACAGTAATAATCTGTAATATTAGAAAATTATTAAGTGCTTACTTAAGCCTTTAACATTCATAAGAAATAAACTATCTTATTTCCTACTCTAATGTTAGTAAATAGATCAGAATCTGGCATACAATAAACACTTAAATATTTGTTAGATGATATTAAATAATACAAAAATGTAAGTAGTATTAAAACCCCAGATTTTTAAAAAGGGCACTTACCTGGTAGTAAAATTTTATCTGTCTCACCAAAATGGATAGATTATGCATTCTAAGGGAGGCATCATTATTGACTTTTTTGTTTACTCTCTGACTCTCCAATTTAGGATTACTGTAAGAAATTAAAAAATACTTTAAAATTACATAAAACACTATTATCAACCTATACATAATCAAAATTAATCATATAATACTTTTTTACTTAAATAAATTGTGTGCTCATCTGCATTAACAGAGATGGTCCAAAAGGGCAGATTATTACTTTGACATGTATTCCATACTTCTAATTAATATAAATGCAACTGATACTCCTAAAGCAAGAACAAAATTAATTTCGAACATAAGTCAGATATTGCCTTTCATTCTCATTTAGCCACTCCACACTCCTGGGATGAATAACTTCCTATTTCCTTTGAATATACAGTTCTATCACACAAAAAAATCAATTTAAAATATGGGCTAATAACCAATAAATGTCATTTCTCCTCACTGAGTAGTAGGGATTACATTTGAAAAGGCAATGTCCCAGAGAAATTCAAGAATAAAGTGGATGACACAGGTTAGTATTTTTATCTTGGGTAAAGTTACAGATTCAACGAACACTAAGGGCTCAATAATCCTGAGGCAGCAGAAAATGCAGAAGAAAAATAGTCAAGCCATCCCTAGTTAAGAATGGGAAATTGTGGCACCTCCACACAAGGATGGAGAAAAGTCAAGAAATTGACACCCACCCAAAATACAAACTGAATAGAAACACCTCATTCTTTAATCTGTTTTCTTTTTACACAGTCCATTACACTCCTAACCCCTTCAGTTCCTTCCCTAAACAGATTAGACTCTATGGTGCTTTATTTCAGCAATTCTCAAACTTTTAAGTCTCAAGACCCCTTTGTAATCTTAATTGATAACTCCAAACAATTTTTGATTTTGTGGGCTATATTTAATATTTACTGTGTCAGAAATAAAGATGGAGGTAGGGCATGGTGGCTCATGCCTGTAACCCAGTGCTTTGGGAGGCTGAAGTGGATAGATCGCCTGAAGTCAGGAGTTCAAGACAGTCCTGGCCAACATGACGAAACCCTGTCTCTACTAAAAATACAAAAATTAGCTGGGTGTGGTGGCAGGCGCCTGTAGTCCCTGCCACAGCTATTTTGGAGGCTGAGGCAGGAGAAACGCTGGAACCCAGGAGGCGGAGGTTGCAGTCAGCTAAGATCGAACCACTGCACTCCAGCATGGGGTACAGGGGGACAATCCGTCTCGAAAAGAAAAAAAAAAAGAAATACAGAAAATTTCAAAGTTATTTATTTATTAACTCACTGTAACAAAATAATAAAACCATTACAGGCTAACAAAAACCAAACAAAAAGAACTTAGAAAACTGAGTGGTATTGCTTTACTATTTCTGCATCTCTTTAATGTGTAGTTTAACTTTTACAAAACAGATTCTTTGCTTCTGCATTTAATCCATTGTTTAGTATTTTGGTTCAAGTATATGAAGACATTTCATCCTCACATGTAGTTAGTAGTGGGAAGACCCTAGGGACCCTCAAAAGGATCCTCCATCCATACTGAGAACCACTGCTTCAACTATTTGTTTGCCGCCACTCCCAATATCTTGATCTTTTGTCCTTTGACCACACCCCCACATTCTTAATCCCCAACCTTGGATCAATTCAACCATTTACACTGAGATTGCTCAAGGGACTAGTTGAGAAAACAATGCAATCAAACTAAGCTATTAATAAGTAGGAAGAAGTAGCTATTACAAAATGGGGGAAGATGCATTCTCACCATTAAAAAAACTAGAAAACTGGACAAAACATGAAAATACTGTTTTCTGACTGAACAGCAGGTCTGCAAGACTGGATTCTCTCTAGTAAGGCAGTGAGGTGCTTTCCAGAATAAGGTACAGGAAAATGGGTAGCCCAAGTCTTGTTGAACTTGAGGAGATAATGCTGGAGTTCATGGATGCTGAACTGACTGACACATTCAGAAAAGAATACCAGAGAAAAGGAAGCTACACTAACAAAGCGCTCCAAAAAGCTGCCTTTAAGATTTTGCCTTTGGCTTTGCACACGCATGGATGTGGTGGTTCATGCCTATAATCTCAGCACTTTGGGAAGCTAAAGCAGGAGGAATGCCTGAGGCCAAGAATTCAAGACCAGCCTGGGCAATATAGTGAGACCCTATCTCGAAAACAAAACAAAAAAACAACAAGATTTTGGCTGAATATTAAATTGTGCATGCATACCCTAAAACTCCACAAGACTAAGCAGAGATTAAATACAAGAAAGCTGTAAGCTAAACAATTCTCAAAGCTCACAATGTACAGAGAGAAATTTGAGTTCCGGCAAGCAGAGTAGAGTAGAGACCTTAATGAACATCCAGAACATACAGCAGAGACTGCAGAAGAGTCATGGGTCTTAGGAGGACTAAATCAGTAGCCGAGTAAAAGCTATTCAAGAACCCCACCACCAACAAAACAAGCCTTGAAAGGATCACACTGATTGCAAGTAACTTGACAAACTGCCAAAACAAAGTTTGTCATTCTAAAAGGACAAAGTCCAGATACTCCAAAATGTAATCATTACAATGTCCTCCATACAATAAAAAATTAATAGACTCAAAAGATCAGAAAAATGTGATCCATAACCAGGAAAGAAAATGGAAACAGTAAACAGAAACAGACCAAGAAATGAAAAAGATCATGGAAATAACAGACAAGGACTTTAAAACAGCTATTATAAACCTACTAAAAGATTTAAAGAAAAACGTGAACATTAAGTAGAAAGAAATGTAAATTATATTTTCAAAACTCAAATGGGACTTCTAAAGCTGCAAAATACAACTCCCTGAAATGAAAAATTCACTGCACAAGCTTAACAATGAATTAGACACTGTATAGCAAACAATTAGTGAATTTGAAGACATTACAATAAAAACAATCCAAAGAAGCATGGAGAGAAGAAAAAAAGTTGAAATGAATAAACAGAGACTAAATGATCTATGGGGCAATATTAAACATACATTACTACATAGTCCAATGTTAAGAATCCATTCCCGTTTCCCTACTTGTCCCAATAATGAATGGATGTCCTTTACAGAAAATAGATCCAGTTGAAAATAACACTTAGCATTTGCTAGCCTGAACTGCAATCTTTAATCTCTTTCAGGCTGAAGGCTTCTCAGTCTTTTGTTGATGTATATGAACCAGACACTTTAGAAGGGTTATAGGCCACTTACTTCATAGAATTACTTTCAACTGGGTTTGTCTGATAAGACTGTGTTGACTCATAATTAAGTTCAGGTTATATATCCTTAACAGGAAAAACACAGAGGAGATGCTGTGTTCTTCTCAATGCATCCTATTAATATATAGGCCTGGCTTGTTTCTGTGTTCTCTAGTATGTTTCACTCGTCTATCTATATATTCCCATGGCAACAGCACCATCTTAACAACTATAGTTCATTACATCTTGATATATACTAGGGCAAGACGCCCTGGCTAAATTGCTTTTTTTCAAGTTTATCCTAACTATTATGATCTCAGTTCTACTAAGCCCCTTTCTTTTGTTGTTTTATCTACCCTGTCTTCGTTAATCAACACAGTGCTCTTTTCTATCATTTTAGGATATTTATAAGGTTCTATGAGAAACCTTGTTGGGATTTATTGATATCAGTAATATCAATTTGATTAAAAACTGGCAAGTAATTTCCATCAGTAAAATTTTATAATTTCCCCACAAAAGTCTTATACATTGAAGATTTTTTTTCTTACTTGGGTAAGAAAGTTTTTGTGAAATGGATTTTTTTTTTCTATTGCATTGCCTACTGGTTCTATTGTATAACAGGAAAACTACAGAGTTTTGTTTTTTGTTGTTTTTGACACAGAGCCTCACTCTGTCGCCCAGGCTGGAATGCAGTGGCATAATTTCAGCTCACTGAAACCTCTGCCTTCCAGGTTCAGGTGATTCTCATGTCTCAGCCTCCAGAGTAGCTGGGACTACAGGCATGTGCCACCATGCCCAGCTAATGTTTTTATGTGTTTTTAGTAGAGATGGGGTTTCACTATACTGGCCAGGCCGGTCTTGGCCTCCTGACCTCAAGTGATATACCTATCTTGGTCTCCCAAAGTGCTGGGATTACAGGTGTGAGCCGCTGTGCCCAGCCGAAACTACAGAGTTTTTGAATGCTAAATTTCTAATTAACCACCTTTCAAAACTTAAGTTTACATGGCCATATTCTTGGTTTTTCTAGGTTAAAAAAAAAAATCACACCATCAGTAAATGACAGTTTATTTCTACCTTTCCAATCTTGCATTACATTTCTATTTCTTTACTTATTGTATTAACAAATAAAAATAGAGACAACAGATATCCTTATTTTACTGTTCTGTATGTAACAGAATGACATTTAATGTTTCACCATTAATGCATGATGTTTACTGTAATTTTCTGATAGGTACCATCTATCAGGCTCAGTTCCCTTTCATTTCTGTTTAACGTCTGAATAGGTGCTCAACTTTATCCAGTATTATAATTTATTTATTTATTTATTTTGAAGACAGAGTCTCCTTCTGTTGCCCAGGCTGAGGAACAGTGCCTTGATCATAGCTTAGTGCAGCCTTGAACTTGTAAGCTCAAGCAATCCTTCTTAGTCTTCCAAGTAGTTGGAACTACAGATGTGCACCACCATGCCCAGCTAACTTTTAAAAAAAAGTTTTGTTTTGTTTTTTGTGATACAGTCTCATTCTGTCACCTAGGCTGGAGTGCAGTGGTGCAACCTCCACTCACCGCGACCTCTGCCTCCTAGGCTCAAGCAATTCTTCTGCCTCACCCTCCTGAGTAACTAAGATTACAGATGTGCGCCACAAGCCTGGCTAATTTTTGGATTTTTAGTAGAGACGGGGTTTCACCATGTTGGCCAGGCTGATCTCGAACTCCTGAACTCAAGTGAGCCACCCACCTCAGCCTCCCAAATTGCCGGGATTACAGGCATGAGCCACCGTGCTCAGCCTAAAAAAATGTTTTAGCTTCTCTATGTTGCTCAGGCTTGCCTCAAACTCCTAGCCTCAAGTGATCCTCCTGCCTCAGCCTTCTGGCTAGCTAGGAT